TGTTACTTTGTACTTTGTATTTTTCTAGTCTAGGCTCAATTTTGACAATGCACCTGTTCTATATGTTATCACATCTAAAAGAATGTTATGTGCAAATAAATAATGTCTAATGTCTAATGTCTAATGTGGGTTTATACTAAAATTTGTATTTTGCGCGCCTTTTCTTTCACATCGACGCTAGTGCTATCTGTGTGGAGAACGCTGAACTGTTACGCCGCCCCGCACTGCGCGTGAGGCGGTTGCAGTTGTAGAGTTATTTTAAAACAACGAAAAACATTGAAACCAATTTACTTTTCAAGAAAACTAAAAAGTAGTTTTAAGACTGAATATATAAGGTTACTTGTAAGCCAAATTTCACAATTTTACGATAACGTTTACCTACTGTAACATTGAACTAGTTCTGTCAAATCCTTATGGAAAATAATATTTTTTATTTCAACAAAAACAAATTTAAAAAAATTTTTTTTTAAATGTTTTTGCATGCTACACGTAGGTTAAGTTATGCTTTTTAATACTACTTTTTGATCCATGCCAAATTCGCAATCGTTTAATTGCAGTTAAGTGAAAAGTAAATTAGTCCCATGTTAAATAGCAGGCCCTGCCAGTAGCGTGGTGGTTGACTCCTGCCGCCTCTTAAGTGTACTGTTAAAAGTTCAAAGTATTCAAATTGAAAATTGATTCAAATAACTTAATTTATACGAAGACAATTTAAAACATCGTAAATTTAAAACTATCGAGTTATTCTTATGCAGAATGAGTTAACTGTTGTAGTCTGATTGTTTTTGGATATATTTTATCACATTTGGAAAATTGGTTTATTCCATCCTAAGCTTTTATTATTTTACTAAAAAACACTCTAAATTCCCTTTCCCGTGAAGAATTTTTGCATTGTTAGTAATGATTCACGTGAAGAAGGGTTTCAAAGGTCAGCACTCACGTTGTAAGGGACGCACCCGTAACGGCAGCGGTATGCAGCGTATGACTTCATGACTCAAGAATGCTTACCCTCTACCTGGCCGGCCAATAGGATTTCTCGGTTTAGCTGGAAACCCCGATGTCCCCCGAAAAATATTTGTTCTGTGTCACTTGTCCTTTGGATGTCACACGTGTAACTTTGTTAAGTGGTCTATAGGTAGAGTTTAGAGTGTTAATTTGTTAAGGATATATTTTAAGATTTTGTTAGTGTGGTGAAAATGTTCAAAGTTGAAAGTTCTAGGGGTCGTGTTAATATTGTAAAAGAACAATTCGTGTACCGGTCTATGGGTGTACAAAAAAGTGGCGAAGAGTTTTGGCGCTGCAACAAGGTTGGGTGCAAGGCGAGGCTGTACACGCTACAGGACGGCAACCTTCTCTCAAGACAGGAAGGAGTCCATAATCACGATCCTAAAGGTAAGAGTTTTATGATTTAAACAAAAAACAGCTTTGAGTTAACAGTTATCTTAGAAAGTTGAGGTTTAGGTATATTTGTGCCGTACTATATAATGCTGTACACAGTATCCTACCGTGTGTACTTTTTGAGTATTAACTATTTTAACGTCAGATTTTAATAGTTGGAAGGATCTTTAATAGTCAAATTTTAATCTTTAGTCCAGGAGATATTGTAGAAGAGCAGTAGAGATAAATATATATTTAGCTACTTGTACATACTACATATCTGAACTTAAACACGTGCTCAAAATGAGTGCGCCCCTCCAAACGTAACCACAACTAAACACACGCCAAACAACTTTTTAGATTTATAAAAGGATGGTTAGTCTAATTGCAGTATCCTAGGTCAATGATGACGTTGTGCTCAATCTATGTCATTCATCTGTTATATCTTTGGATAAAACCCGTCTGGGTTGTGGTGGTAATTTAAAATTGTATTCCTGAGGATTCTTGATCTCCTTCTTTATGACATCAATATTTCCGGGCCTAATCCAAACAAAGTTTAATCATTCAAAAACATTGATTGTAAACAAACCAAGATGAATTAAAACGTGTAAAGAAATGGATTTTCCTATCCTTTCTTAAAAAAGTTGAGCAGTATAATAATTTGCATATCTTTTTTTATGACTCGTGTACAGAGCCTCGACTTGTATACATTGATGGTGTTACTTTTCTTGGTGGTCTACTAATCTTACTTATTTCCTAAAAATCAATGACGAATCAGAGTAAATAAAATAACCTCATAGTTCTACAGAGAATTTTTATATTAAACCAGCTGTTCGTTAAAAGAAAATTATATTGCACTAAAACAAACCGAAGATTACAAAGATTTATTAAAAAAAAACTTTGAACATCCTAGTATTTTACCTATGTATATTTAAATAATCTGTCATCCTCTTATCGAAGGATTGCACGTATCAATGATTAGCATTACACATAGTATAAAAAAGTCACCCCTTAGTAAGTCTTTTAATTTTATCCAAATGCTGAATTTGTGTTACAAACACTGAATGTTTACAGCTGTTATGTTAAACAAATTATAATACACCAAAAGCTAGTTTAGAATCGTAGCGTCGGCTGCTAGACTTTTTAAAAATTTAAACTTAATTTCTAAATAACTGGGACTCTAAACTAAAATAATGGCTTCGACATTCCCTAGTTCTCAAAATTATCTTTCTTTCAACACAAAAATCATGAAAATCCGTCTGGTGGTTGATTCAGAATCGTGAAATAAAAAAACACTGTTTCGTTTTAATATTATAGATAACAATTTACAATTCATTGTTGTGGTATACCTGCTTTAAAATACTAATAATTGAGTCGTGTATTTCATTTAACTAAATCAAATTTTGGGTGTGATTTGCAATACTGTACCAGAATTTTGCTACATCATCTGTATTTTGTTTTACAGGTCAAATGTCCTGCATCAGCTAAAGACCTGACGCCAGCTGATGCAGTTATTGAAAAGAAAATTAAGTTTTGTGTGCTGGATGAAGAGAGGAATCTAAAATTAAAACGGAGCCATTGATAGTACTACCAAATCCAGGGACAGCTCCACATAACACAACAAAAAAATTGTTGGTTTTTGGTGTGGACTAACAAAGGCATGTCCATAGAGAAAATCGTGAGAGACGACCAGTTTTGGGAAAACAAAATGGAAAAACCCCTGACTAATTTTTATTTCAAATGTGTATTGCCAGAGCTGATCGACCCAAGACACCCTCGGGGACTCCCAATAAGGGATAGGTTTTGAAGTCGACGAATAAAACTGATAAACTATTGTAATTATTTAATAATTTGTAAATGAAGATAAATTATAAATAATTGAAATAAATTTTTTTTATTTCAACTGTTGTTTTTATATTTCAAAATATTGTACCTACCATAACTGGGTTTACTTATGGTACAGTAATCTGTTTACAGCCAAAATGCATTTACTGACAAAACCCAGTACTGTAGCCTACTTTAAATATTTATTTAGTATATGGATAAGCACGAGTGGTGAGTTTTGAAGCATTCCCGGCGCTCATTAGACCGCCTTGGCTCGCGGTGTTTTGGTGTTTTGTGGAGTGGAAGTTGCACTAGTGGCAATGATAAAACAGTGAGTATGCCAGTGCGCGTGGGTAAGCGGTTCCTCTCCTGCTGGGCGCCGCCGCCGCGCCGCTTTCTCATCCCCTCTCCCACTCACTCGGCCCCTCTCCCGCTCCCCTCCGTTGTGCAGCGCTCCAAGCGGCCGTTAGCTATATCGTGCTGAGATTTCCGACTCGGGGTCCGGCGGACCCTTAAATGAGATAATTCGGCAAAAGAACGTTTTAAGAAATTACAAATTTTAACATTTTATGGGCAATTTATTTATAAAACAATTCTAATCGAAAAAAAAAACTAACCAGAGGAAGTAATAAATTCATTGCATTCTTATAATTTCAGGAGGAGAAGAGAGTTTGTCCAATCTCTCATGTTAAAATTTTTTTTAAAAAAACCCTCATACCCTGGTAACGTTTTTCTAAAATTTGTCCCTGAATTCATAAAAAAAGAAATAGACCCATCAAAATTCAAGAAAATTCTAAAAGAGTATAGGGATATTCGCAACAGTCCGTGATAGATTTTTGGATATATGGGTAACAATAACAACTATATAATATAACATTAAATATTTAGAATGAAATAACAGCTGCTTTAAATACAGTAAAAGGAAATAAAAATATTATAACACTACATCACGTGAGGCTAGTCAGACATCATTGCGTTTGTGCGGGGAGAATATCGCCTGAGATGGTAGCTCGGTCCCACACACTTGGCAATCTTGTCACCCATGGACCTCCAAATCGCCGGCAAATTGGTGGATTGCTTGGGAAAATCGAGCAATCAGGTGGTCTCCGGGCGATGTCGAAATCACAGGTGATCCGAAACATCAAACATCGAAACATGTCATACATTGGGCGATATTTAGGCAATATGGTCGCCAGCGATCTAATTGCTCATCGACAGGCGACAAAATCGCCTAATAATGTTAGGGCTTTAGGAGAGGGTTTATCAAAAAACTGATATTTTTCGGGGAAGGTAATACATTTCGTTTCTATTATTTTAGGGTTCATTTCATGATTTGTGCTTTACACTGTTTGGTTATATAACTAGGGGTGAGTTATTGTTTTATTTGGTTAAACAAGGTTTTAAATGACTGAAATAACAATAAACAAGTTGTAAACAAAACACAACTCCTACAGTGCACCGGACGGAACTAACAATAAAATTGTCTTCAGCTTATCCATAAAATCTACAAAGGGAGTATGTTTTATCATTGACTATACAAAGATATTCTGTGTATAGTCAATGGTTTTATCAATGGTACAACCTTCACCAGATCTAATAAAGTTTGTTAAAAGAGTAGTCTTTCCTGTAGCCTATTTTTTAGCTAATAAAAGTTATTTGTAAGATAGTTATTAATATAATTAGAATAAGTAATTGAAAAAGTATGTTTGTTTGATGCCTTAAGTTGAATTAACTTAAATACAAAATCCATCAGAAAAGAACTGACATTTTCAAAATTTTGTTCAGCTTATTTCCTTTTTTAGCAATGATGACTCAAAAGGCTCTGTTACTTACAGAGAAGTCTTTCCTCCTGTACAAAATACACCATATCTTGTTAAACAAATCGAGTAAGTGTGCTCTTTTTAAATTTAACTAAAACACATATTTAATTGGGTTATTCACAAATAAATGCATATTTCTAACTCATATCATCATCATTTACAGTAGACTCTCACTAGTTTAGGACTATTTGGAAGTATGCATTCTAGATCTAGACTCCATTTGTCTATGGTCGTGTTTCATAATATTATTTGTTTAAAGCTCTACTTGTTGGTCACAAAAAATTAAATGAACATGAGTTTCAACTAGCCTAATTGTAATTTCATGATTGCACGACATAGAACTTCAGATTACTGAGGTCTGGATTAGATAGCGTCCGGATTACTGAGAGTCTACTGTTCTATCATTAACAATCATTTCAACTTACGATCATTTGGTGACTCAACACCAGCAAAGCTATTGTACTCTGGACAAGGAACTAGCAATTCTATAACTTGATAAGCAATTCTATATTCACTCTTCAAGTATCAAGCAAGCGATAGGTCTCTCCAAAGTAAGACACGCCTAGCAATAATCAGCTTATGACTTATTGGGAACCACTCTAACTCATTAACTGGCTTAGGTCTTAAACAAAGTCATCTAATTATGGGTATGACATAACTTTTTACCTCTTGAACAAAATTATTACAAAATTTAAACCTTGATTTTGCTTGGTGCACACACAGCAAGAGTAAATTAAAACTAACCATTCATCTTGTATTAGATATTATGAAACTCATGTGAAGAATCTTTCTGTTCTATTTGTTTCCTTGTGCCTGCGCCACCTTTTTTACATAACCCTTCTTAGTCACAACTTTAAGATAAACAAATGAAGTACACAGACATAAATTACTGGAGACTGTAGGAATTCATAATGTGTTATTGTTATGTATCTTGGCCAGAGAAAGTCTTAGCTTAGTCTTCTCTACCACAAATCATTCCTAAAGGCTAATTGTTTGAATGATGTCATTGGACGTTACAGATGATGTAGTAATCTAGTAAATTTTATGTAATATCACCAAGGCCACAGCACAGGTTGAGGTTGATTCTAATTTTGAAATAGAATACCATGGCTCTTAATCAAAAGATTAAGCCATAAAGAAATGTTGTGCGTTATTGTATTTTTGAACATTTATTTTGCCACCCTGACTTGATTTTCTCAAGTAAGATTGCTGAACTCTATCCTTCCTGTAAACCATTCCCTCAATGGGTTTTTCTCATAAAATTGAGTTATTTGTGAGAAGTATCCAGATTTACCATATTTGAAAAATTATCATTTACAAACACAGTTAATAGGATGACGTCTTATGGAAGTTCCAGAGAAGTACATTTTCCTTCAAGATATGTTTTAAATGAGATAATTAACTAATACTTGATGGTTTATTTCTGTTGTTGGATGTTGCAGTGCCTATGGGAACCTTACTGTACGCAGCTTGCTAGACACCATAGAACATTGTCTCAAGGAGTTTGACTTCCCTGACCCTTATCTTGCCGTAAGCTTTGTTTATTATTTTTTAATATATTAATTAATAATTTAGTGTGTAAATTGTCCTTCAGAGTATTGTAACTATCTAGTCACACCAAATAGCATAGTATTTTTCTATGGTATGATAATCGATTGAGCTGGAAGGTCAGAAGATTTGACAGTACAGGTGTCACTTGAGGTGTATTGAACACCACCACCTGTGGCATTTGATGCTAAAGATTGACACAGGGCACTTGGGTAATCAATGAACAGCAGATAACTAAATTATAATTCTTATTGATAGACCCAGGATTGGTTTTTATGACAAATAATGGCTAAACATACCTCGTCAGACAATCCTTAACATGTAGTATCAAAATTTTCGACATTATGTTTTGCCGGTTTTTATAACTCCACCATTGTCAGGCTAACAAAAAGATCCACTTCTTGAGGTGTCGTCAGAATCAATGAAACACACAAACGATTAATGACATGCCTATCAATTACACGCATTGCTGTGGGCAGGACTGGGACCAGACTGACGGCAATCCTATTGTTAATGGTTTTTCTGTTTTGTGTAAAATTGTTTTAATTTATTCTGCCAACACCTCAAGAAGATATTGTTAGGTAGTGTTGTTACAGCAAAACAAATTGTTACAGCAAAAGCAGGTGGAGAACGAGTGTGCCCTGGCGTTGCTGCCTGCGCGGCTCACACAGCTGGACGAGATGCCAGACAGTGAGCGAGGGGTAGAACTGATAACCGCACTGTTGGCTGGCAACATGTTTGACTGGGGTGCAAAGGAAGTGGTTGACTTCATGGAGAAGGGCAACTTTGGCTTCAAGGAGGCAAGGGAGAAAATACCTGGTGAGTTGAAAAAGGTTCAGTTTATTTCCAAGTGGTTTGTTCGTAAGAAATGTATTTTTGTTGATGCAGGAATAGTCAATAGTGGGATTGTTAAATAAGTACAAAATTAGTAAACTACATGAAATAATTAAAACAATTAAGGAGTAATGACATCTGTACTGAAAAGGGAAACGATGTGACTAAACAAAAAAGTTGTGTGGTTTTTTTCTGAGGCTACAAACCTGAACGAGTGCATAATTCATCATGTAGTATAAGTAGGAGGGCATCCGAACCATCTCAAGTTTGAACCAAATGGATCCGAACAAAAGGAAGTTTATTGTACCTCTTTCATTTCTGATAGTGATAATATCAGTTTACATCTCTAAAATTCCCCCGCAGAGAGACCTTGGTTGGTGGATACGCTAGACCAGTGGATGGAGAGATGGAGAGGCCCACCTCACAAGTGTGCAGCAATCTTCATTGACAACAGCGGCATAGACTTTGTCTTGGGCGTTCTACCGTTTGCCAGAGAGCTGCTCAAACGAGGCACCAAAGTATGTTCTTGGTGTTACTGAGTTATTAATGATAAGGCTACAATAAAAATCAGCTGATATGCGTTGTTGCATAGTTATCTATGAGGTTTAGTGTAACTGGGAATTTATATTTAATAAGGCACGACATGGTGTTTCCTCAGTCTGAAGAGATAGAATAATACGTTGAAAGTAAATCATTGGTTTTATGCCAAGAAGAAGGGTTTGATATTAGGTTTCTAGGTGTGATTCAAGTACCTAACTAAAACTTGTATTACTATCATATACAAATTTAAGGAAACCATATCCAAATTTAAGGAAAACTTAAATCTCTAGATTTAAGCGAATCTCAAATCAGGCAAATGGAAATTCGCTTAGTCTGCAGGTTTGCAAAGCACAGATTTGATTTCCTTACAGTTTGTAAATGTCATTAATAGCTCAAATTTAATGAAACTGAATCCGTAGTAAACAAAAATACCTCCGTCGCAGGTCCACCAGTTCTTACTCACTCTGGGCAATCCAAGTTTGATTTTTACCACTTCTTTCTCCAGGTGATCCTCTGTGCCAACTCTGCGCCTGCTCTGAACGACGTCACTCACTCTGAGTTGCTTGTGCTGATAAGACAGGTGTCCGCCATGTGTGACGTGGTGTCAGGCGCTGTAGCCGAGGGACGGTTGGTAGCCATGGAGACAGCTCAGGCTGGCCCTTGTCTGGACCTCAGGTTGGTACCACTGACTACTAGCTAGATTGTTGTATTTAAAGCTGCTGCTCCAATCTATGTTTTTAAGAGAGTTGCTAAAAAACTACAACTAAAATGTTTGACCAAGTATTAAACTAGGTATTCAATTTCCATGATAAAGATGTTGCCAGTTTAAGAATTAAGATAAATTCAGTGGAATTGAGTGTCGGACAAAGATTTCTGATGTTAACTACTCGTTTCTGTCGAGTACACCAACTGTTATGCCAAACGAAACTGAAAGGACTAGTTATTGTAAACTATAGGATTTGTTATACCGTAGCCAACCTCCTCACATCATGAAATCACAAACTAGGGTATCATTTCCATACCTAGATGCCATTTGTCATCGGGCAATGAATAAATTATTGATGCTCTCTAACAAAAAGGTCGATGTTAGATAGTAACCAGGGTTTGGACCGTCTTATGAACAATATCTTATGAGCCATATGAACAAATGGTGAATTTTTTTTCATACCCTGTTAACATTTCAGTCTAGTCAGTTAAGGAGCTTATACGTTCACCGGGAGCAAACACACAGACAGAAATAACATTTTCTTTCTTAACAATAATATCAATATCTATTTATACAGCTTTGAGATGCCTTATGAGATAAAGTTTAACCAGGACAAGGTACTAGTATGAGGTCAGTGGGTAGGGCCAGGTCCTCCAAACATCCAGTCTACCAGGTCTGCTATTGGTTTTATCACACTAGAGGCAGCAGTCATTATGTTCCCATGTACGGCAGCCATGTTGTGTTGAAAGTTAGCTGCCCATTCATCTCCTAAAGTAGGCGCCCCAATAACTATCTGAAAACAGAAAGAGGTTTAAAAAATGGTAAAAACTAAACAATGCTTAACTTGTATCTTTCATTCACAATCAACCTGAAATATACTTATTTTATATCACAATTTTAATATACTCGATCGATATAATGTTCAACTCCAACTATCCGAATCAATCGGAACTGTACCCCATTTGGATAGTCAGATTCTTAATGAAATTCAGGGTATTTTACTGAAAATAGGCCAAGGGTATATCGTTTGCAAATATGTTGCAATTGAAAAATTCATACTTTCATGATTCATGATCACAGAGGACGAATATGATTTTCCGTGACCACTGGAGACGAAGATGATGTCTATTTAAGACGAAGGAAGATATTCAAGACTGCTACATTCACGGTAAATGATGACGAGTTTCCATGAACAAGATGATCATGTCTACACAACTGCGGAACAAGATGACGGTTTTTTCAGTGACTGTGGGAGACGATAATGATGTCCAAAGTACCAGAGAAGATATTGAATATTTTGCTGTGATAGTGGAAAATGATGATGATGTTTCTGTAACCGCAGGAGACGAAAATGATGTCCAGACAACCGTGGGATATATTTAACGTTTTGCCACAATCACAGAAGACGATGATGTCTACATGACCGTGGAATACATTTAACATTTTGTAGCGATCACAGAATACGATGATGATGTTTCCATGAATGCGGGAGACGTGATAATGTCTACAAGACCTCGGAAGATGAGCAAATTTAAGACTTTACTGTAGTTGCGAAAAATGATGACAATGTTTCCCTGACTGTGGGAGACGATGATGGCAATATGGCTGTGAGAGAGGTTTTGGATTTTGCCGCAATCACACCTTCTGTCTTCTTTAATACTCTTACAACTGTTTTTATTATTTATGTAAGCAATTTGGATAATCAGCGATTTGGATAGTTGGAGTTCGCGTGATTGGAGTTCTATTGTATGTCTTTTTATAACTGAATCACTGGGCTTCATTATTACATAAATATCTTACTTTTGAAAGAAAGGATTAAATTTTTGCCTTGGAATTAGGACTGCAGTTTTGGAGGGAAAGGGAACCCAACTAACTCACTTGAGTAGAGTATCATGCAGGTAATTAATACAAAAACATTCACACAAACTTGATTATTGCAGTTAAAGCTTCTTCCAAAGTGAAGTGAGAAGAAATAAAATAATGTATGTTTTACAGTCTAAGTGCCGACACTGTTTTCACAAATACTAAGAGAACTCAGAAAATAACAACTTTTGGTCCTTTTCCATTAATTTACTACCACTACATTTTTATTGCAATTCTGTTTCAATACCAGCATTTATTCATAATCAGCAAGTTTGATTGGTTTGGTTTGTTTATAACAGTTTAATTTTATAATTGATTCATAGACTAGGCTAACTGTTAAAAATATCGGAATTGCATTAAAAAAAGTAATGGTAGTGAATTAATTGAAAAGAACCCTACTTTTTACTAATCATGAAGAACGTTATCTAGTGCCTCTTGAGGGTCACTTTAGAATACTTTTTCTACATAAATAGCTTTCCATTTCCACTGTTTAGTTTCTAGGCTGTGCGGTTTCACAGATTGAACCTCATGAAATTACAAAAAAAGTTCCTTAAAGAACTAATTATTAAGTCATGATTAATTTCTCTGAATGATAAGTTATCTGATGTAAAATAAACAAAATTGAAATAAGAGTCAGAATTTTATTTCCAGAACCACTGGAGATTTCGAGGTATTTCGCCCAAGACAAATTAGATAAGGTTATATGCTCCTGTATATCTATTAGGAAGGCATTGTGCCTAGATGACATTATCTCTAATTTTATCAGCAATAGGCTGATTATGATATTATGAAATGAAAATTTTAAAAAATAGCATTATTAGGTACCATAGTCTTTATGATAAAAGCTAGGTTTGGTACCACTGTCCTTTGTTGTGTCAGGGTAAAAGCAAAATCGCTATTTGTTTAAATAATTATGTAAATTTAGTTCAGTCGGCAAATTAAATATTACCTACTTGATTGACAATTTTTTTTACCAATCAAATTCTTTTTTTTGGTATTTTTACAGAGCTTGGTGCTTGCCCTATTGATGTCTATTTTACCTATTTTCTACTATCTTGCTCTTTGAAGTTTGTCTATGGCAATGCTATAACCGTGGTATGATAAAATAAATACATCAAGCACAGGTAGCACAAAATGATGAATTGAAAACTAAAGGAATGTTTTAAAAGGGAAAATTTGTTTAAGAATATTTTAAGACCTAGAAACAGCTATAGCCAAAATCCTTAAAAAAACTCCTAACAAACCAAGAAAATATTAAGGTAAAACCTATTCAGATTTTTTACATTTGTTGGGATATTTTATTATTTAATGACAGTATATTATAATTACAGTTAAGAAAATATGAGGCAGTGGGCCAATTAATTTTTATTTAAATTGTAGTTGTATCTGAACTTGTTTTATCTGCAGTTAAGTACGGTAAGGTTTGTCTAATTACTATGTTCCCTATTGTCCTTGTTATACTTGTTTATGCATACAATTTCGACTATGTTTGCTCCTTAAAGTTTCACAATAATGCAGGATTCTCATAATTTCATCTAGAACTTGTTTCATAGAAGCAAAACTCTAATAGAAAAGAATAATTATCAACCCATCCCCAGTTATTGTATATTTATGTTGATTTACAGGGGGGGCACTTACCTTCGGGAGAACTAATAGTTTTGTTGATTGAACTACAAAATAGTATATTTCATAACAAGAGTAGATAGTGAGTCATTACATATTTGAGACCATGTTTGAAGTGTGAGATTTATCAAGCACTTTAAATGGTTGAGAATATGTATAGACCAACTTTCACTCGAGTTTTGAACGTTATTTTTTGCTACAATACAAAGACTAATTATTTTCTTGAACATTACAAAACTCATGGTATTTTTCAGGTTATAACATCAATACTAAACAAACAGCTAATATTTACTTTGGTTGTACAGTTTTGGTTGATGAAAATTAAAACAGTTGACAAAACAATAACAAATCTTTGTTTGTTTACATCGGCAAAATCCAATAAAGATAGTAAACATTACTTTCGCTTAGTAAACATTCTTTTGCCGTAGTAAACAATGTAATGATGAATTTTTGCAGGGGATAAACATTTAACAAAAACAGGTCATTTCACAGTAGTGTAGCAAAAATTAATATTACAACTACATAAATAAAGATTACTCAATAGAAGATTTTTGTGATTGACATTAATTTGTGTCAAGGATGACATGTTTCAATTCACTCACCTGAATCACCATAGCCACAAACACAGTACATTGTATAAGCATCGTGGATTTTGACAGTTTGCTTACAATCAACCATACCCAAACTTTCACAAAGTTAACCTTGTCCTGTTTAGATATTCCTCAAAACATAATTACTCGTATCTAAATTGGGCGTTTTGTCCTCATTTATCTTTTTACTGTGTCAAACTACTTGACTCTTTTTTGAAAACTGTTTGAATAATATATCTTTATTGTTGTAAGGATACATTTATATAGGGCTAATTGACAAAGGCCAACTAAACCTTTTGATTGACAAAGTCAAAAGGTTTAGTTGAGATCAAGTGAAAAAAATACAAATTTGTAATACTTAAAAAATAGTGGTGTAATTGTAAAACATTTGTCTACACAAGTATATATGATTCCATTACTATTTTCCCCACAGCTCAATTTTTCAGGAAATTGCATAAAAAAAGCATTTTCTTGCTTTTGGGGTATCACAGCAAATTGCCCTATTATCATATAAATTATGCTGAATGTAAACTTAATGTAATTATTGTTGTGTAATTTAAGTTTTTGATTGTTAAATAAACTGGTGAATATTTTGAGCTAGGTTTTTACTTTCTCCCCCTATACATAGTATATTATGGAGAAAGTATTGTTTTTCGTCAAAATTTTTGAGTTTGAGTTTTGAGTGGATATATCCGTTTTGGATCACTTTTTCCCCCTATACATAGTATATGGAGAAAGTATTGGTTTCATCAACATTTTCGAGGACATTTCAATAGTTCAGTCAACAGTTTTGAGTGGAGATATCCGTTTTGGGTCCCTCTGAACCCAAAAAAGTGGTTTTGAAGTGATGTCCGTGTGTGTGTGGATGTGTACAGAGCTACAGACCACACCTGTCGTCCGATTTTGATGAAATGTGGTAGGTAGGTAACCCAGTATATCTCCAGGCATTTTTTTCATTTTTTCAAAATTTCCTCCAAAAACCCATAAAAAAACGGAAAACTCAGATTTTCTCAAAAACGACCCGAACGATTTTGATCAAAATTTATTATGTTATAGTACTTTAAATTCTGAACAATGAATTCGCTGAACACTAAAATTGCATTTCTGTAAAAATGACGGTTCCAAAGTTATTGTAACTTATATTATTTTCCCATAAAACCCCATTAAAACAAAAAATTGGATCTTAGTAAAAATTCCTCTTTTGGTTAAAATTAGTATGTTATGGTTCTAAAAAATTTGAACAAAATGGTATGTATCCCATCTCCGTCAAAAGTATGGTTCAAAAGTAATTGTAACTTTTGTTATTTCCCATAAAAACCCCCATAAAAAAATATCAGATTTTAGGGAAAAACCCAGTTTTGATTAAAATTAATGTGTTATGGCCCATACAATCCTAAACAAAAATAGTGCAACCCCCCCCCCCCCATTGCTGTAACAATTATGGTTCAAAAGTCATTGCAACTTTTGTGACTCATCCCTATAAAATATCAAAGTTACTCCCACCGCTTACCCATGATAAAGGTTGTTTACAAGCTTATAGGAGAAAGTATGTGTCAGTTTGCTGATACCGTTTATTTCTATTGTTTAGGTGCAGTGGTAGAACATTATGGCTATAGTACATGTGCTATACTATAGTATACCGTCAATTATTATAAACCTAATTTTCTTAAAACGTGTCCTCTCCCATTGCAAACGCAAAGCACGAGTATAACTGCAATAAACATTTTATACTTACGGTACATCCAGAGTGCACACCGATTCAGATTCCGATTCCGATTTTCGGCGGGAGAAATGTCACTTGCATTCAAATGGAAGTGGCTGTAGTGGCTGCCGGTTTCCGAGCCCGCGCGCAGGTATCTGCTTACCGGTATGAATTCTTCATTCTGATTTCAAATTCTGTTTATTTTTAAGTACTATTAGTAATAAGTAAAGTAAGCCTTAAAGAAAGTTTTATAATTTTTCTTAAGGCGACGTTAAAGGGCTCTCACACAATGCCGGATTACTTCGCAGTAGAGGTTTACATCGGCTTCTGATTGAAATGATTTTACAAATATTGTGTAATTTTTAACAAACTCGGACAGTTGAAAACTCGGACAAATGAACCTCACCCTGGGATTTATATATGGATTTAAATTTAAATACCGTTCACATTTCTTTTGAGCTCTCGATCGTAATTGAGTCAATGATTTGTCTCATACTGTGATTCTTGTTTGCAATTAATTTTTTTTAAATCAACAATTAAAAGTTACAATATCAAGTGATTTTTTTGTTTAAATGCACTTTAAAAATTCCCATATTTTAAAAAGTCACAAATTAAATTCCTATAATTTCATAACACTTAAGTTATGAGTTATGAGAAATTTTTTCAGTATTAAAAATTTAATTTGTATTATTAAAGTTGACTCACTGTAAGTTTCAATAAAATTCAAAAAACTATTTTAAAAGTATTTTATTTGAACAAATAATTAAGAAAATATAGATTTTCTTTCATCAAACATTTTTGGCTTGTTTCGTAGTCTACGTTTTCTTTTCAATTTTTCTCTCCCACCTCTTGGGCTTTATTCTTGCGTTTTGAAGATGACTTGCTAAAAGGATGCTTAACAGGTTTCACTACAACAGGGAGAATATGGGGAACAGTAACCACCATTGGATGATGATACACCTTTGCGGGAACCATTGGAGCGGTTGTATACGGATTGGCATACGCTTGTTGGTAGCCATATTGATTCATCCCCGGGTGGTTCTGGTAGTATGGGTATGGCATCATGTTGCCACTTGGCTGGGAGTAATAGGATGGTGCATAGTTTTGTCCGTAAGAACCTGAATAGGGGTTGGAGTTGTATCCTGTGCCTGGATTACTAGAGTATGGCATTGGTGATCCATACTGACTATTCCCATTGGCAAATTGTGACTGATACCCGTTGTTGTAGTTATTGTATGGGTAGTTGTATTGCATAGCAGGTTGTGTGTTTCCACCGTACCCTGCTGGGATGTTTGTGAAGCCGTTGTTAAATCCACCACTTGGAGTTGTAGTAGTTGGGTAGTCACAGTTTTCTTCTGCTATTGGATTGGCATCACTGTTTGCACCAATTTTGTTTTCAGCCTCTGTTGGTATTTGAAAGTTTGCACCTGAGGCGTTTTGATGTCCTGATAAAGCATCACTGTTGTTAGTATCTTGATCTTGAGGCTTTTCAGTTGCCCCATTGCTCATAGGTTCTTCTACAATAGCACTGTTTGAATCTTCAATAGTTGGTGTCATTGTTGCACCATTATCTTGTTGTGATCCTGGCTCAACAGAATTACTTAAATATTCTTCTGGAACGACTACATTATTGGAACTCTCCGGCATGGTAGGTTGTTGATAACTGATTTGATCTTCGGATAATTGATCAAAACTGTCGGTTTGTCCAGTAGCTGTAGCTGAGGCACTTAAAGGTACCTCAGATGTGTTGTCTGTTATTTGTGATTGAGGTGTTTCATCATAAGGTTTATTCTCAACAGGTGAGCTCTCTGAGGTTGTAGCTTCAATGTTTCCTGTTGTTGGTTCTTCAGAAACATTCTCAGTTAGCTGAGTTTCATTAGATGGTGTATTCTCAGAGGTCGTGGCTACATTGTTTTCGGTTGTTGGTTCTTCAGAAACATTCTCAGTTAGTGGAGTTTCATCAGATAGTGTATTCTCAGAGGTTGTGGCTTCAGTGTTTTCGGTTGTTGGTTCTTCATAATCATTCTCTGTTAGCTGTGTTTCATCAGAAGGTGTATTCTCAGAGGTTGTGGTTTCATTGTTTTCTGTTATTGGTTCTACAGATGGTTCTACAGATACATTCTCAATTTCCTGAGTTTCTTCAGATGGTGTATTCTCAAAAGGAAAGCTCTCTGAGGTTATGGCTTCAGTGTTTCCTGTAATTGGTTCTACAGATGGTTCTACAGATACATTCTCAATTTCCTGAGTTTCATCGGATGGTGTATTCTCATCAGTCGAAACCTCAGAGGATTCAGTGTTTTCTGTTGTTGGTTCTTCTGGAACATTCTCAGTTAGATGAGTTTCTTTAAATGGTGTATTCGCATCGGTTGAGCCCTCAGGTGTTGTGGCTTCAGTGTTTTGAGTTGTTGGTTCTTCTGAAACAATCTCAGATAGCTGAGTTACTTCAGATGGTGTTGGTTCTTCTGAAAAATTCTCAGTTAGCTGAGTTTCATCAGATGGTGTGGTCTCATCGGTTGAACCTTCAGAGATCGTGGCTTCAGTGTTTTCTGTTGTTGGTTCTTCTGAAAAAATCTCAGTTAGGTGAGTTTCATCAGATGGTGTGGTTTCATCGTTTGAACCTTCAGAGATTGTGGCTTCAGTGTTTTCTGTTGTTGGTTCTTCTGAAAAATTCTCAGTTAGCTGAGTTTCATCAAATGGTGTATTCTCATCGGTTGAGCTCTCAGGTGTTGTGGCTTCAGTGTTTTCAGTTGTTGGTTCTTCTGAAACAATCTCAGATAGCTGAGTTACTTCAGATGGTGTTGGTTCTTCTGAAAAATTCTCAGTTAGCTGAGTTTCATCAAATGGTGTATTCTCATCGGTTGAGCTCTCAGGTGTTGTAGCTTCAGTGTTTTCAGTTTTTGGTTCTTCTGAAACAATCTCAGATAGCTGAGTTACTTCAGATGGTGTTGGTTCTTCTGAAAAATTCTCAGTTAGCTGAGTTTCATCAGATGGTGTGGTCTCATCGGTCGAACCTTCAGAGATCGTGGCTTCAGTGTTTTCTGTTGTTGGTTCTTCTGAAAAAATCTCAGTTAGGTGAGTTTCATCAGATGGTGTGGTTTCATCGGTTGAACCTTCAGAGATTGTGGCTTCAGTGTTTTCTGTTGTTGGTTCTTCTGAAAAATTCTCAGTTAGCTGAGTTTCATCAAATGGTGTATTCTCATCGGTTGAGCTCACAGTTGTTGTGGCTTCAGTGTTTTCAGTTGTTGGTTCTTCTGAAACAATCTCAGATAGCTGAGTTACTTCAGATGGTGTTGGTTCTTCTGAAAAATTCTCAGTTAGCTGAGTTTCATCAGATGGTGTGGTCTCATCGGTTGAACCTTCAGAGATTGTGGCTTCAGTGTTTTCTGTTGTTGGTTCTTCTGAAAAATTCTCAGTTAGCTGAGTTTCATCAGATGGTGTGGTCTCATCGGTTGAGCTCACAGGTGTTGTGGCTTCAGTGTTTTCAGTTGTTGGTTCTTCTGAAACAATCTCAGATAGCTGAGTTACTTCAGATGGTGTTGGTTCTTCTGAGAAATTCTCAGTTAGCTGAGTTTCATCAGATGGTGTGGTCTCATCGGTTGAACCTTCAGAGATCGTGGCTTCAGTGTTTTCTGTTGTTGGTTCTTCAGAAAAATTCTCAGTTAGCTGAGTTTCATCAGATGGTGTGGTCTCATCGGTTGAGCCTTCAGAGGTTGTGGCTTCAGTGTTTTCTGTTGTTGGTTCTTCTGAAAAATTCTCAGTTAGCTGAGTTTCATCAGATGGTGTGGTCTCATCGGTGGAACCTTCAGAAATTGTGGCTTCAGTGTTTTCTGTTTTGGGTTCTTCTGAAAAATTCTCAGTAAGCTGAGTTTCATCAAATGGTGTGGTCTCATCGGTTGAGCCTTCAGAGGTTGTGGCCTCAGTGTTTTCTGTTGTTGGTTCTTCAGAAACATTCTCAGTTAGCTGAGTTTCATCAGATGGTGTGGTCTCATCGGTTGAACCTTCAGAGATCGTGGCTTCAGTGTTTTCTGTTGTTGGTTCTTCAGAAAAATTCTCAGTTAGCTGAGTTTCATCAGATGGTGTGGTCTCATCGGTTGAACCTTCAGAGATTGTGGCTTCAGTGTTTTCTGTTGTTGGTTCTTCTGAAAAATTCTCAGTTAGCTGAGTTTCATCAGATGATGTGGTCTCATCGGTTGAACCTTCAGAGATTGTGGCTTCAGTGTTTTCTGTTGTGGGTTCTTCTGAAACATTCTCAGTTAGCTGAGTTTCATCAAATGGTGTGGTCTCATCGGTTGAGCCTTCAGAGGTTGTGGCTTCAGTGTTTTCTGTTGTTGGTTCTTCAGAAACATTCTCAGTTAGCTGAGTTTCATCAAATGGTGTATTCTCACCGGCTGAGCCCTCAGATTCAGTGTTTTCTGTTGTTGGTTCTTCAGTAATATTCTCAGTTAGCTGAGTTTCATCAAATGGTGTATTCTCATCGGTTGAGCTCTCAGAGGTTGTGGCTTCATTGTTTTCTGTTGTTGGTTCTTCAGAAACATTTTCAGTTAGCTGAGTTTCATCGAATGGTGTATTATCATCGGGTGAGCCCTCAGAGGTTGTGGCTTCAGTGTTGTCAGTTGTTGGCTCTTCTGAAAAATTTTCAGTTAGCTGAGTTTCTTCCGATGGTGTATTCTCATCGGTTGAGCTCTCAGATGTTGTGGTTTCGATGTTGTCGTTTGTAGGTTCTTCAGATGCATTATCAATTACTGTTGTTTCATCAGAAGGTGTGGTCTCATCATTAGAGCTGTCAGAGGTTGTTTTATCAGGTTTTGGTACTTCAATTTGATCATCAGTTTCCTTTGTGTCATCTGTAGGAATGCTTTCAGCAGTTGGGCTCTCAGAATTTGTCATTTCAGTGTTCTCGGTTGTAGGTTCTTCAATTTCATCATCAGTTGAGCTCTCAGAGGTTTTTTCAGTGTTCTCAGTTGTTGGTACTTCTGATGCTTTATCAATTACTGCTGTTTCATCAGAAGTTGAACTCTCATAATTTGAGCTCTCAGAGGTTGTAGTTTCGGTGTTGTTATTTGTATGTTCTTCAGAAGCATCATTGGTTACTTTTGTTTCATCAGATGGTGTGCTCTCATTAGTTGAGCTCTCAGAGGTTGAGGCTTTGTTCTTCTCAGTTTTTGGTTCTTCAATTACATCTACAGTTTCCTTTGTGTCATCTGTAGGTGTGCTCTCATCATTAGAGCTCTCAGAGGTTGTTGTATCAGTGTTCTCAGGTTTTGGTTCTTCAATTTCATCTACAGTTTCCTTTGTGTCATCTGTAGGTATGCTCTCATCATTAAAGCTCTCAGAGGTTGTTGTATCAGTGTTTTCAGGTTTTGGTTCTTCAATTTCATCTTCAGTTTCCTTTGTGTCATCTGTAGGTGTGTTCTTGTTATTAGAGCTGTCAGAGTTTGTAGTTTGGGTGCTGACACTTGTAGGTTCTTCAGATGCATCATCAGTTACTGTTGTTTCATCAGATTGTGTGCTCTCATCATTTGAGCTTTCAAAGGTTGTGTTTTCAGTCTTCTCAGTTGTTGGTTCTTCTGATGCTTCATCAGTTACTGTTGTTTCATCAGATGGTGTGGTCTCATCAATTGAGCTCTCAGAGGTTGACGTTTCGTTGTTCTCAGTTTTTTGTTCTTCAATTTCATCTACAGTTTCCTTCGTGTCATCTGTAGGTGTCTCATCATTAGAGCTCTCAGAGGTTGTATCAGTGTTTTCAGGTTTTGATTCTTCAATTTCATCATAAGATTCCTTCGTGTCATCTGTAGGTGTGTTCTTATTATTAGAGCTGTCAGAGGTTGTAATTTCAGTGTTGACATTTGTAGGTTCTTTAGATACATCATCAGTTACTGTTGTTTCATCAGATGGTGTGCTCTCATCAGTTGAGCTCTCAAAGGTTGTGCTTTCAGTTTTCTCAGTTGTTGGTTCTTCTGATGCTTCATCAATTACTGTTGTTTCATCAGATGGTGTGGTCTCATCAATTGAGCTCTCAGAGGTTGACGTTTCGTTGTTCTCAGTTTTTGTTTCTTCCATTTCATCTACTGTATCATCTGTAGGTGTGCTCTCATCATTAGAGCTCTCAGAGGTTGTATCAGTGTTTTCAGGTTTTGGTTCTTCAATTTCATCATCAGTTTCCTTTGTGTCATCTGTAGGTATGTTATTATTATTAGAGCTTTCAGAGGTTGTAGTTGTAGTGTTGACATTTGTAGGTTCTTCAGATGTATCATCAGTTACTGTTGTTTCATCAGATGGTGTGCTCTCATCAGTTGAGCTCTCAGAGGTTGACGTTTCGTTGTTCTCAGTTTTTGGTTCTTCAATTTCATCTACAGTTTCCTTCGTGTCATCTGTAGGTGTGCTCTCATCATTAGAGCTCTCAGAGGTTGTATCAGTGTTTTCAGGTTTTGGTTCTTCAATTTCATCTTCAGTTTCCTTTGTGTCATCTGTAGGTGTGCTCTCCTCATTAGAGCTCTCAGAGGTTGTATCAGTGTTTTCAGGTTTTGGTTCTTCAATTTCATCTTCAGTTTCCTTTGTGTCATCTGTATGTGTGCTCTCCTCATTAGAGCTCTCAGAGGATGTTGTATCAGTGTTTTCAGGTTTTGGTTCTTCAATTTCATCATCAGTTTCCTTTGTGTCATCTGTAGGAGTGTTCTTATTATTAGAGCTGTCAGAGGTTGTAGTTTCATTGTTGACATTTGTAGGTTCTTCAGATGCATCATCAGTTACTGTTGTTTCATCAGATGGTGTGCTCTCATCAGTTGAGCTCTCAGAGGTTGTGTTTGCAGTTTTCTCAGTTGTTGGTTCTTCTGATGCATCATCAGTTACTGTTGTTTCATTAGAAGCGCTCTCAGAGGTTGTGAATACATCCTCAGGGTTTGAAGATTTATACAAAGACTCTTCTATTAGATTATCAGATTCTGGAAGTTTTGTTTGTTCCTGGGAAATATCTTCTGTTATGTCATCTTCGTTAGTGCTGCTGACTTCAGTAGGGCTAACCATTGTCCCAGTTAATGTGTCATCACTAGTTTGTTCATTTAGTTCGGTTTCTGGTAGTTTGGTTTGGTTTTCTTCAGGATAACTGACAAACTCTGAGGGTGTAATCGAGTCACTTGAGACTCCTGATTCTTGAGTGTCCTTGGTGGTTTCTGGTTCATCAGTTTGAGTATCAGATTGAGGTATTGTGGACTCATTTGATGGTTCATCCTCTGCTGTTTGGGTAGAAGATACATTTTCAGTAACAGCTGGTATATTCTCATCACTTAAAGTGTCAGATTCCGTAGGGGTTGTCGAGTTATTCTCTTGTTCAGCTATAGAATCCTTTTCATCTTCTTCCGCTTCTGCTAATGGTTCCTCTATATTTTGAGTGTTGATTATGTTATCTTGAGTCTTAAGCTCATCTGGTATTGTTGACGTGACTTCTGGCAATACCTCGGTTGGATTGACATTTTCTGGTTGGGATGAGATTGTTACACTTTCTGCAGGGTTTGTTTGAATGTTGGTCGTATTGCATGGTTTAGTTACATAAGAACTGACAGGTGAACCAGTGAGTATACTTGTGTTCAAAACCACATTTGAATCAATGTAAACTTGCTTTGCTGGTGTGAATGGTATGACGAGCAATCCTGATGTCAAAATACCCGGGATGTATGATGCATTGTTCAGAGTTACTGTGGATATTTCTTTGGGAAGAGTCGGAGCGCTGTTTGTTCCCTGCAATAAAAGAATAATTTTTTTAGTTAACATTGTTTCATTCTTTGTCTAGACTCAAGTCAGTCTGTTGAGTAACTGCAAGGGGTTTTGTCAATGATTAGTGTTAAAGATATTGCAGAGATATACAGGTCGTTCAAAAAAGGTGGGGACATATTTTACCTAATGATTCGTTGGGTCAAAATTAAGAGAAAATCAAGAATAACATTTTTTCCAAAATCGCTACGTTACTCAGATATCCGCCATTTTTTTTTTTACATAAACATTTTTATCTTTAGACTTTTTCAACCGACATTTATGAAACTTGGGATGTATGTTAAAGTAGAAGAAATCCATGTTAGGAAAAAAATTCATCTTGATTCAATTCAAAATTTCAAAATGGCGGCCATTTTAATTAAAAAAATATAAATTACTCAAAAACAGTTGATTTGATGAAAAATGTCAAGAACACTTTAATTTAGCATTTCAAATTCCCTATAAAACGATATCAAGTTAAAAAAGATCAAATAAGAAATAGCTGAAATATTACGATTGTTAGTTCTAAAATTGGGCAAACCTGACTAACTTCTGTCTGATTCTATCCCATTTCCAACTAAAAATCTTAATATTTCAGCTATTTCTTATTCAATCTTTTTGAACTTGGTATCATTTGATAGGGAATTGCAAATTCTAAATAAAAGTGTTCTTGACATCTTTTCATAAAATCAGCCGTTTTTGTGTAATTTATATTTTTAAATTAAATTGGCCGCCATTTTGAAATTTTGTGTTGAATCAAGAAGAATTTTTTTGTAACATGGGTCTCTTCTACCTTACTTACAGTCATACATACCAAGTTTGATAAAGATCGGTTGAAAAAGTCTAAAGATAAACATGTTTATGTAAAAAATACAAAATGGCGGATATCTGGGTAACAAAGCGATTTTGGAAAAAATGTTATTCATGATTTTCTCTTTATTTTGACCCAAGGAATCACTATGTAAAATATGTCCCCACCTTTTTTGAACACCCTTTATGAAATTTGTTCAGTGTTTTTTTACAAACAAACTCAATTTAGGCTATCATGTAAATTTGAACTATTTCATTCTTGGATATTTACTTTCCAAACTAAGCCCACTTCCAAAACTAATGCTGATAAATTGAACACCCTGTACAGTTATAAAATATTTTATATTTGACTGATTCACTGCTGCAGTATTTTGAAATCAATACCGGTAGGTGGCAAAATTAACTATTTGTGAATTGTTTTGAATCAGCTTATTCATCTCCTCATGAGGTTCCCTTTTATGAGATGGTGTTTTGTGTAACATAAAAAACAATAGTTGACATCAAAACCTACTTCCCTTTTATGAGATGGTGTTTTGTGTAACATAAAAAACAATAGTTGACATCAAAACCTACTTTCAAACATTTTTACACAAAACTGATTGAATTTAAGGCAATTTTTAGTAATACAGTATAGTCAATGTTTGAATTAAATTTTTGTAAAAATATATATAAGTTAATTGTACCCCCAAATATCATGTAAATCTTTTACTATCTTTACACTAATTCTTCTCTAGAATCGATAAATACATTGAGACCCAATCAAGCCAAGAACACACTGATTTCTATTATTCTCTCGTCAGTTCCCGTAAATTTTAATATCTATCGATTACTATTCATATTTTATATCAACTCTCATAAACAAGTCACTTTAGTAAAATATTTGTTTTTATTTTGCAATTTCAGCCTCTGATACAGCAAATATATTTCATGATTAAAAATGCTGGTTTATGTATTCAGATTGCCAAGCCATTAGACAATATAAGTTTTACAAACCTTGAGTATAGAAGCAACTAGACACACGATGGTGTAGGGAAGTGGGCCCATAGCAAATGAAGGAAACTATCAACTGTGTTGAAAAATCCCTTGAAAGAGGCAGAAATATCATTCTCAATAAATATCAGTTTTGGGTGACCTTTTCCATCATTTTGTGTTTCTGTCAAGATGTGTGTCAATCGGATTGAAGCTTGTCTCTGGTTCTTTGCTCAGTTGGTTTTGTTTGAAGATGTTGAAGGAAAATCGTAGAAACATGATATGACGCAATGCTTCGATACTATTGTTCAAGTAAACTGCGCTCATTCTATATTAGTATCACCATTACCAAATCCTTGATGGTAGCCCAGTAGTCTGTATATAAATGTATATATACTTTAAACCACAATATCCTCATTAAATAAAAAATATAACTTAAAATTTATTGTGGTTAATAAAAGAATTAGGTTTGTTGTACTAGTATTTAGTTACAATAATAGCATTCGGACAAGGTAGTGGTGTTTTAGCTTCTTTCTCACCGGAGGACAGAATCAGATTCCAGATCCCGAAATGTGAAAATACTTTTACTAATCTTGAAGGAAAGTGTAGCAAAAATACATAACGTATACTGAACATATAACATACATATAATAAACATATACTGAACATCACTCAAAATTAACATCAAACAAATAAGTACTAGGAGCTTGGAATATACTACTGGAATATTCCTTGAAATCTTTGTCAATTAACTTCCAGCCATGCCATCACTTTTGTTGATTTGACTGTTCTACTTACCTTATAGTTTTGGGTTTAGGTGATATTAGGCTTTAAATAAATACCCCCGCTGCAGCAAACCTGCAGACTTAGCGAATTTCCATCTGCCTGATTGGATTTAAACTAAAATGTCTCCTTAAAAATATCACATTTATTCCCTATTTAAACAGAATTAGTTTAATGAGTACTTAGGTTTGCTGCAACAGAGGGTAAAAAAGTTTTTTTTAATGTAAAATATTAAAAGGTACTGTGGTATAGTAAGAAATTAATGTATTTTCCAAATTTGATCAAAATATGTTCATAAACAAGCAAACTACAACAGTTGACTTATTCTCCATAAGAATAACATGGGAATTTTAAAATTACAATTTTTTTGAATTTTCTCCGTAACAATAAGGCACATAACAACGCTTCAATATACTAAATTATTTGTTTTTTTAAGCTCTACAAAATGGTTTAAAAAGAAATTGTGAAATTTTGTGTTTTTAGGGTCAAAAATGAGAAAAACCTATTTTTACCCCATAAAACCCCCCATAAACCCCCGTTCCCATAGTCCGATCATGCTGGTTCGCGAACTCATTCAAGTTTATCCCGCCTTACACCTTCAAACCAAATTTTATCAAAATCAGACAAAAATTACTCAAGTTATTGTGCGGATGGACACACACATATATATATATCTCTATCTCTATATATAGATGTATACAAATTTGAACGAATGGTGTTTTTGGCCTCTGGGGACATCAAAATGAAAAAGTAAATCGGTCCCGGGCTTAGGTCTTACCATGAGACCTACGGTAATAGCTACTTCCCTATAGCCCCGTTCACACGGGGCGAGTTTACAAGCTACACGCCGGCTTTTTTACACGCAGCTAGTAAAATAGCTCAGTGTGAACGACGTACTCGCTCAAAAGCTGCTTGTAAAAAAGCTCTGGAAAAAGTTGACGCTGCCGCTACTTTACACGCCAACTCGCCAGCTTTTGAGCGAGTAGGCGTGTAAAGTAGCCCAGTGTGAACACAGTTGCTTGTGCTTGTGCGCTTGTTACTCAAAGATGTTGGAGGATTTGGTTCAAGCCAGCTACTGAGCGAGTGGAAAAAGCGTCGTGTGAGTGAACGACTACAAGCGCACTTGCCGACTTGCCGGCGTCTTCCTACACGTCTGCGAGTTGGCGAGTGGACAAGCTCCGTGTGAACGAATACAAGCACACTCGCCAATTCGCAGGCTTCTTACACGTTGGCGTGTAGCTTATAAACTCGCCCCGTGTGAACGGGCCTTTTAGGGAAATTCGCTAATAAAAAGCCTACTCATTTCCCATTACTACAATCCCTGCCCCAGAAATCAATGCAGCAGAGCAAATATTTGCTCTGGTCAATTATACAGTGATTGAGAGTGTATAATTGAGTGCATATGAAGTCATCTTACATTACTTGCAAACTATCACAGATCTGAAAAAAAAACATTTACATACACACTTGGAGAACTACTGATACACTTTGTTGAATCATCATTAGAAACTCATACTTTCACACACTTCAAACACACAAACAGGTCGTTTGTTACTACAAGGATAAAAGAATTAGATTTCATTAATAGTTTTCCTGTCCCCCAGAGGTCATAAATACAAACCATTCAAATTCAAATATATACGTCCGTTGGCCCTATAACGTGAGGAAAGATTATCCGATTTGGATGATGCTCGGTACAAATGTTTTTAAACCATAAAATTGAACAAGTTTGCGAACGAGCATGATTGGACTATGGGAACTGTGGTTTATGATGTAAAAATAGGGGTTATTCGATTTTTATGTAAAAATTTTGCAATTTCTTCAGCCTTTAAAAAATTAATAAATTTGTAAATTGAAGCATTGTAAATAAATGTAAAATGTGTGACGCAAGCGTTATGGAGAAAATTCCAAAAAGCCCTGCAGCAGTGGAGGTATTTTACTTCCCCCACCATCGTTGTAGTGTAAACTACTACTTGGCACTCGCCAAATATGAATTGCGTTATTGCTAAATCTATCCTCAGATAATGGATTTATTAAGATAAGTGTATGGGCTAAAAGTTTTCAAGAGTAGTGAAGGGTGTTAGGAGAAGGCCTACACATTTGCAGGACTAGGTCGGAAGCGATTGTACTACATCAGGTTCTGACAAAAGTCAATCAAATTAACTTGCTCATCAGCACCTGACTGTTCAAGAAATGGCTTCAATAATGATTAATATCTGAGATTGTCTTAGAAAATGGCAACCCCTGATTTGTAAACGCCTGTTACAGCAAGCTGGACCGTGACCTGGTGAACGCGTTGGTGCACGTTGACCTACTGGTGCTGGAGGGGATGGGTCGAGCCGTCCACACCAACCTGGACACCAAGTTTACCTGCGAGAGTCTCAGACTAGCTGTCATCAAGAACCGATGGCTGGCCAACAGACTCGGCGGTCCCATGTTCTCAGTCATTTGCAAATATGAGACTCCTTCTGCGTAACTGCACCATTATGGCCAACTGATATTAATTTAGTTGGGGGTTATAAGGATGCATACTTAATCCAAGCTTAAATATTTTCAATTTATACAATTTTTTGTCAGAGCGGATATACTAGGTAGTTTACGGTTGGATTGTCACAGAACAATTGAAAAATCTGGAAATTGAAAAAAATAAGCTTAACACCATTAATTTGCCTGTGGCTTAGTGTTTTAAATATTTCTAGATGCTAGGTGTTCTAGAACTTAGTATGTTTCTTAATTCTATGAAAAAATATTGGGTTCTGATTCTGAATCACAATGTATTCAATATATTGAGGGAGAATGTACTTAACTATTTATCTCGTAAATTTAAATTGGAAAATCTGTTTTCACCATCCAAAAGTTGGTTACATTCTTTTGGAAATTTGAAGCTTAGATTTTTTAACATGTTGATATATTCTATTACAGTCCAGAAAATTTTCAGTTTTTTGCTTGCCCTAGAAAAATTTCCAGAATCGGTTCTGTGTATTTTACTTTTATTCTTTATGAATAAAATATTATTAAATTCTTATACATGTATACTTGATTATTTCCAACTTTTCTGGCGACCATCAAGATTATTATTCTGGTTCCTTTTTTTTTAAGAAATATTATCAACGATTAACGGTGTATTAACGGTGTATTAACGGTGTATTACGATTAACGGCAATATTAGTGCCACAGTTTATGTTGTCCTACAGTCAAGTAGTTTGACAAACGTTACTTAAATGATAGTTTTTTCATCTCTATGTTCACTTTTCATGACTAGTTGTTTTTCTGTGAACTGTGTTAGATGAAATATTGCATGATTCAAAATGAAAAAATTGAAATAATCATTATCATATGTGGAACTATGTTTTGTAAACACAAAGTCATCAGTGCAAAGTTTGGAATAAACCTACTTATTCCACCATAGGTTATTGAAATGGAATAGGTTTGAAGTTTGTAAATATAGGTTACTCCTTCGCAAGACATGTATATTATCAAATAAATTTTACAAATTGTTATTAGAAGATTATTTACTACCTTTTTTGCATTTATCATATTGTAAAAATACAATTACTTTATTGTTTTTGTTTGCAGTACTTTTTAGTAATAGTGTCTAACCAAGTTAACACATTATCAGTATGTTCCAAAATCCAAAATACATATAACCACTTCTTAAGTTTAAAAAACACAATAAAATTATTGATATTATCATTTTCTAAAATACAGCAATAGTCCAAATAAAATTTGAAAACTCACAGCTTCAGCGGCAGCCATACTAGGCCATACGAGGAGAATAAACTGTGTAACATGAATAAAAATAAAAACAATCCATAACCCCTGCACTGCATCAGCAAGTAGGGTATCTCGTCCAGGTTGATGGTAGGCCATATGAGCAAGAAGAAATAGTAGAGCGTGATGACAATGTCAATGAATGCAGAGAAAACAGTAACCAACAGTTGACAGCCGTAGAAGGCGTTGGCTTGATGCACGGCCCTGCAGAGTTGCCAGTAGAGCTCAATAAGAGTTTGGATCTTGTGTGAAGAACTGCCTCCTTGGAACAAACAAGAACTTTCCAACAATACAGCTTAACATGTGATATATGTAGCAACTAAACAGCTTACTGTTGTAGAAGGCGTTGGCTTGACCAACAGAACATGATTAATCAATTGAGCTTTGTGCTTTATGCACAAGTGTTAAGTACCGTAATGCCTGTTTAAAGGTCCAACAAAAAAGAATAATAAATGGCAATACTAAACCCAAGCCCACGACTGAACAATAGACTCCACTTGTATAGGAATCATCTAGGATCGAACCTCAAATCTCTATTTGTAAATATAAAACACTTAGCTGGGAAAACTCCAGCCAACTGAGTAAACAGGATTGTACCCGAGACCAACATTGTGAACGAGAACAGTATAATTTAAATTTCAAACTAATTCTGCGACTGTCAGAAGTATTTATTGTTGGTTGACAGGTGCTAGCTGACAAGTTGTGTTTTCCTTAAAGTTCTAACAATTATTGTTTTCAAATAGTTTGCAGAGGTTTATTCATCTCCCAAAAACACAAAAAAATAATCTTAGGATTATATTGCTGCATTTTACCTTTGATTTTACAAAACAAATATCAATGGCAAAGGATAGGCCTAAGCTGGCGCAAGGTCAATAAGAAGTTTGCCTGTTCATTATCCTGAGAGTTCTATGCATACTTTTTTAAAGTATATATTTTCCCCATGTTGAATTTTCTTACCCATCAAGGCTCTTATGGTCTGATTTGAGATATTTGGGTTAAAATATAAGAATACAAGTTTTCCAAATTCCAACCATAGCGATTAATGCCAATACTCAGTGGTGTAGTCATACATTTTCTAGTGCAGGAGCACTTACAGAGTTGTGAAAAAAATATGGGTGGCCTATCAATAATTGGGTTCTTTGGAAAACCAGAGTGGGCATTCCCAGTCTGGCAATGGCATTATTGTCACATTCCTCACCACTTCACCATGAGGATGACTATATAAGACCCAAAAGATTAGGATTTTTTTACTGAAATTTTGTACCCTGATTTTCTATAGTTAAAATTATGTGGTTTTTCAGGACAGGAATAAGATAGCACCAAATTGACAATCAAAGCAAATACTGCTATACAGACTTGACAGTTGCATAGCATTAAACTACTATGCTTGTGCCCTTGGTTTAACCGTGTTATTTCTTAGTGTGGTAAAGATGCTCAAAATGGTGTAACTTTATACCATACAATACTGGGACTATATGTAACAGTTTGGAGTCAAAAGTTAGCTTTCTCTTTGGTTTTTGGGGTTAGGCCGTTTATTAGCTAATTGCATTGTACTAATAATCCCATTTATTCAAGGTCTAAAATATGATTATATCGAAGTTAAATAGTATTTAAATTAGATTAAAATTCATATTTAGGTGATGAGTGCACCCAGCCTTGCTCTCATTAAAGTAATGATCATAACAGTTTCAAATTTGCTGTTCAGTACCTAATGAAGAGTGCTTTCGTCGTGTCTCTGTAGGCTACATGTAAGAGTGCCTGAGTCGCTTCCATTATGTTAAGTTGCTATTTTGCAACATAATATGGCGACAACATAATAAACATAATAACATAATAAAGACGATTCCATTTTATCACAGTCAATTGCACTCCTCTCATAGGTGAAGAATTGTACATATTATTATCAATTATCAATCATTAAGATGGGGACGCCACTTAGGTGCGTATTTTAACCCAAATATGAGTGAAGGATGAGTGTAGAATGGTGTGTGATGATCTGTGTAGCTTTCCTCTTTTATGAACCTTATATATTTATATTGATTATATAATTATAATATACATCTTCAGGGAAAGGTGAACTAAACAAAGTCAAGTCTTGAAATAAAACAAAATTTTTATTTATTCAATTATGAACTTATAAATATGTACAAAAATAATTTAAATACATAAGCCTAAAACAGCCATGGAAATAAATCCTATACATAAATACAATACTAAAATTCTTTAGTCAAAAGCAAATAATGTAATACTGATAACAATTATTGTCATAATAAGAGAAATTTTACACAGAAAGAAATATTCACATACAATGTTCTTCACAATGGCCACTGATAAGGATGACAAATATAACATTTATTACAAAGTAATATTTAACAAGCGTAATTTTGATAGACGACTAACAAATATTTTTTACCTTCCATTAATTGTACATTATAATTTAAGATTGACACATTTATATAAAGGTGAAACAACAAGCGTTTGAAAGTCCGAAAAACAAAGATAGCTGCATCATATTCCCCTAATAACTTTTACCACTTTTATACAAAATCTCCTTGAATTCACATTGCAGTATAACACCCACCTACAGAAATTAATTGTGTAAAATACAATGACAGTGTTAGACAACCCAAGCCAAGTTTAAAAATCAGTATCTCCAAAAATGTGATATAAGAATTCACTGAGACCCATAATCTATTCAATAGATTTTATAACATTAAGATTTTTTAGTAAAACATGTTCCAAATCTTTAATTAAACTCCATCATAAGAGATGTATGTGTGAGGTATAGGCATTGTTCTTAGCATAGCTAAATCCACTAGTAAAAAGATATTCATATGCACTAAAGTACCTGGATGTAACACCACAGTAATAGTAGACACTTGCCGTACTTGTTTTGTTACAAGATACGACAGAATATATATCTAGTATTAAAAGCACATTAACATTCTATAATAAAAGTCCAAAATGGCAATGTCATTCATCCTTCTTTGGTTTATCAAGTGGTTGTATAGCTATTCTACGCTTAGAAGAATAAAAATTAAATAATCTATGGAGTGTCCTTTACAACTTTGAAGGCTTAAATTCAGAGAAACAAGTTTACCAACTCAAAAACGCAACATGTAATTTAAAATACTGTAGTAATAAATACTGATGTTACTCTCAAAATATCATGTTAATTATGATAGTTAGATTTTGCGATTCTTTACACTTCAAAGTTGTTATGGATCATAAATCAAACTACGATATAATGTTTTCTTTATCTAAAGGTAAACAAGGAAAATACCTTAGACTTACCTATCTAGGGAAAGCCCTTAAAAGTGTACACGGAAGAATAGAGATATACAAAACTTCCTCAAGCCAAACAACTAAATTATACCACATAAACATTTTGTAAAAAAATATTAAATCTTGGATCCACAAGTTTCAAATCAGTTTTAAACTTATTTTGTATTTTCAATCCAGACAATTTTAATATAATAAAAAAAAAAAGTTTTTACGACTAAGTCAGGGAGAAAAAAATAGACAGCTATACAAAATAACTATAATTTTTAATCTACCTGCTAAGGACATTACAATTGTAATGTATTTGCATTTGTCCATACACTAACTTTATTTTGATCAAGACTAAATCTAATTACTAATTACTATCCACAAGTTAAAACATAGCTGTATCAATTTAAATAGCTATTCACAATATTTACAGTCTTATACATCAACAGCAGTTATATTATACATTTTTATCTTATACACGCAGCTTAGATATTATGAAAACTAAGAGACCATAAATATAGCTTTATACAAAATACACATTTCCAACTAAATCAGTTAGGATCGTTTACACATGCAACTGTTTAGCAAAAGTAGCTAATATTCAATCACAATTACTTAAGGAGTGAGAGTCTACCATTGAAAGCAACAAAAATAAGGAACCGTGGGTGTAGAAAAACAAACAAAAATACCAACAATGTCAAACAAAAAGACATTCTTTATGAATTACCACTGATTTTTCAATTGAAGTAGAATATTAGTAATGAAAAATAATTTAAGAAGATAATATAAAGTATAAATTAAAAGTGTATTAAGGTTGTGCTTGTTTAAATGTACCACAAGAATATAAGAGTAGTGTAACAAAGTTCATCAAGGATATAAAAAATATATAATGCTGGACAACAAGCTAAAGAAGCAAAGACTCAATCCATTCATAAAATCTGGCTTGAAATTAGCTCAGAGAAATCATTTACTAGCCTTGTTCTTAAACAGGATTAATTCCTGTTGTTTTGTCATGAAAGCTTTCAAATATGGCATTCATTATCTTAACTATGTAACAAGAAATCTTTGATTCTCCCGGTTTCTATGTAACTAAAAGTATCTTTAAATTCTGTCCATTACAACTAGCACACCTCTATACTGTCTATTTCACAAATGTGTCAGTGTTAAACATTAAACATTAAACATGAAACATTAAACACTCCTCAAGACTGAGGAGTGTTTAAACAAGCACCTCCAGACTTTCATTAGACTTGGCGAAGGTAGAAAGTTTGGCCTTGTTGGTGGCAGGGATAGCGGCGCCTGTGGCTGGGGATGGGGGAGGTGGTGGTGGCATACGCAGACGCAGGGAGATCCAGAAGTTGCGCCGGTTGATGGCTGGACCTCCCTGTGCGGGCCACACTACTGGCGCACACTTGGACATCAGGCGGCGCAGTTCCATCCCTTCCTCTGTCTTCCAGGAAGCATCCACATGAAGTGCCTGAAGAACAAAACATTTGTGAACAACTGTACAAAAAGTATACAATACTTGAAAGATTACAATTATTATTATTTATGATCTATATTAAACATAGCATCAACTCAAATACAATCTTTATTCATATATGCTTTTACGGCCGGTGTCATAGAATCCACATTGGTTTTCACCACAGTCAATTGCGGCCTAGCGACTAAGTATATGCAAAATATATTACAGCAAACTCTCTAATTGACGATCCACAACACAGTTGATGCCAAAAACCACTTATGGATTTTAACTCAACCACGAAATAAACTGTTTTATCAAGATGGTTACAATAGAAGGTATTTTTAGGAGTTGACTTTGAGATGCAGTTAAATGTTTTATAAAGTTTTTAGACTTTTCAAAAAAAAAACATTATAACAATAAAAGTATAATAAAGAGTATCATCCTAATTTGAAAACAAAATATTTAGCTGAATAGCATGACACAATGACCTATACAAACCTTCAGAGGAATGTAAATGATGTTAGGATGAAGCTCAGTAAGCTGCCGGAAGAGAGGGCAGACGTCGGAAGGACTCCACTGACCCTCAAACATGGCCGGAGACAAGATTACCAGCAGACGACGGCTAAGAGAAGAGGCCAGCTGTAGCTCTGCACTCACTGTAGACAGACGAGAACACAAGTTAGCTGAGATAATTCTACTTTCAACAAGTTTTGTTATTGTATAAACATTTGTTATTGTATAAATATTTAATATTCAACTCACAAACATTTTAGTTCTAAAGTCTGTCCACTATACAAAATCCCACACCCTTTTAAGCCTGAAATTTATTGAGAGTAATGAAATGAAATGAAATGAAATAACATTTTATTTCCCAACTGGCATTGGTGTTGGACTGTCATGGCGGATAGTATACTTGACCCGAATTGTGGTAGTTGTTTCAAATTAGTGAAAAGTAATAATAATGCACTAGCTTGTGAAGGTTTTTGTTCGAGGTGGTATCACATCTCATGCGTAAATATATCTAAGAATGAATATGAGCAAATAGCAAAATTGAATGACAAATGTACGTGGTTCTGTGAGTCGTGTAGTTCTAACCTCAAGAGATTACGTTCTTGTATTGGCAATGTTGACGACATCATTACTTTGAATTCTTCTGTTGTGAGTTTGATATCTATGGTAAAGGGTGTCGTAGATGACAATATCAAACTAAACAAAAGATTTGACGAGTTTATTAAGACTGGAAAGCCAAATTCTATGCATGACCTTGACCAAGGTCAACCAGGTGTAGGCCTAGATGTGAATAATGTAGGTGGGATTAAGTCTTGTCAGCAATTTCCCATAGTAGATCAGGACAATATTTGTGTAAATAATCAGACATTATCTGACTCAAACCGTAGCTTGATAACTGAAACCATCCCCGGTGGTAGGCCTACTAAGCCTAAACTTGGTCAACCTAGACCTAGACCTCTGAATACTAGTTTTGCCGGAATAGTGAAAAATCCGCCTGTTGTCAAAAAGGTAGCTAATAAGAAACCTATCATTGGCACAAAAACTGATTTTGGGTCTAATGAAGGCAGTTCTAGCCTTAAAATTGTGGAGAAGAAATCGTGGTTGTTTATCTCTCGATGTCAACCAGAGGTAACTGAAAAAGTTATAGTGGACTATGTGACACGAGGTGGTATTAAAAGTGTTGACTGTGTCAAACTAACCTCTAAGTATCCGACGTATGCATCTTTCAAGGTAGGTGTGCCAATTAATGACTTTGACGGTATCTTGAATGCTGATTTTTGGCCTGTAGGGACTCTAATTAGGGAATTCACTCCTAGAAAACCTGGTCCTACACATGTGAAGCCTTTTTTAGGTCAATAGTTTGCAAAGATCGTGTTGAGTCTACTGATTCTGAAATAGACTGTGTCAGGCTTAACCTATGTTTGATTAATGTTCAGTGTTTGCGGAATAAGACAATCGAACTTGAATTATTATGCTCTGACAATCAAGTAGATTTCCTTATGGTCTGTGAACATCAGTTGCTTGAAGATGAAATTGAATACTATAAAAGTATTGGTAACTTGGAACTAATTAATAGTTTTTGTCGTACGTCTGCAACTGGAGGCGTGGCTCTGTACTTCAATAATAGACTTAATTACTCTGTCAAGCCTCTGGACCTCTCAATGTACAGTGTAGAAAAAGAGGTTGAATTTTCTGCTTCAATTATTACAGACTTGTCATTGGTGGTTGTAACTATGTACCGATCACCGAGCGGTAAAATGGGTAATTTCTTTGATATACTGGAAAAATGTTTAGTATTTTTGTTGACACTAGGGAGGTATGTGATAATAGGTACCGATCATAATGTGAACCCTGTCTATTTCCCCAGTGATGCCAAGGACTTTGAGAACCTATTGCGAAGCTTTGATTTGTACGGTGTGATATCCGAGGCCACTCGTGGTGTTGCTCCTCTAGACAATATATTTACTAACATGTGTAAGACTGATTTTAAAGCAGGTGTAAGCAGAGATCAGGTGGCTGATCACAAACATGTATTTATGTACATAAACCTTCACCGTGTACATATAAATAGTCTTTGTTCTGTAGACAAGTTTGTTGATTTCAGGTCTTTTAATGACGATGCAGTACTAAATTTTACTGAATCGTTGCAGTCAAGGGCTGTAAGTGGCTTACACTTGGCCCACACTATGTTTTCTTCTCCCGAAGACTGTTTTGAGTTTTTCCTAAATAGTTTTAAATGTATTTTTGATTTCTGTTTTCCTCTAAAGAAAAAAAGAATCTCACAGCCTAAAACTAAATTGCACGCTACACCTAGCAAGATTGATTGGTATAATGAGGATTTAGCTCATCTGAAGAACTGGATCATGCTGGTCCATGAGCAGTCCACGAGTCAGCCTGAGTTACTGCCCTTGGTAAGAAGTCTGCGCAGGGAGTATCGCCTCGGTATTAAAAGCGCAAAAATTTCTGCAAACGCTGCTTTCATCACAGGCTCATCCAACCCATGTAAGGCAGCTTGGAGTTTGATTAATCACAGCAGACCTCGACCAACAGTGAACTTGGAGTCGAAGTTCTCAGCAACTGATTTTAATGTATTTTTTATCCAAAGTGTCAACGATATTGTTGGGAAAATACCTGATATACCTTTTGTAGATGCCAATTTTACTGTTAATATTCCCAGGGTAAACACAAGTTTCTCTTTCACTCCCACAAAACCAAATGATATTGTAAAGATTGTTCACAACTTCAAAGCCTCTAAAAGTAGGGATGTTTATGATTTGTCAACAGATATTGTTAAGCAAGTTATACACACAGTTGCACCTGAGCTCACAATTCTGATAAACAACTGTCTTGCAACTGGTTGTTTCCCAGATGCCCTAAAAGTAGCTAAAACAGTCCCAATTTATAAAAAAGGTCCCCGTGAAAGTTTGTCTAGTTACAGACCTGTGTCTATCATACCTGTTTTTGCCAAAGTTATGGAATCTGTAATGTTCTCTCAAATGTATTCCTACTTTGAGGAGAACAATCTCCTAGTTCCCTCACAGTTTGGCTTTAGGAAAGCCAAATCGACAATATTAGCTGTAGAGTCCTTGGTGTGTGAAATTATCAAGTCTTTTGAGTCCAAAAAGTCAACACACGCAATTCTTTGCGACTTGTCACGTGCTTTTGACTGCATTCCTCACAATGCCCTTCTGGTAAAACTTAAATTCTATGGTCTAGGAGATGTTGCCCTCAAAGTGGTTTCCTCTTACCTGTCAAATAGGAAACAAGTTGTTAGTTGGAATGGGACTTTTTCAGAGAAAGGTGATGTGCTCCATGGAGTTCCCCAAGGCTCTATCTTGGGACCCCTCTTATTTTTGATTGCCATTAATGATTTGCATTACCATGTTAATAGTCACATTATTCTATTTGCAGACGACACAACTTTATTTTCGTCTGATAAAAACTGGTTCCTGGCTCAGTCAGCAGTGCATGACTCTTTGGCCTTGGCTCAGCAATGGTTCATTTTAAACAAATTAGCTCTTAATGATTTGAAAACCCAGGAAATAACTTTCAGCCTTTTGCCTAATGTACCTGAAAGTTTGTCTGTAAAACTGTTAGGTTTTGTACTGGATCCCAAGCTGTCTTGGGAAGGTCACATAGATGTCCTGTGTAAAAGACTTAGCAGAGTGTTGTTCCTGCTTAGAAAGCTAATGTCTGAGCTTCCAAGGCCAACAGTTAGGCAGGCCTACCATGCTTTCTTTCAGTCTATTTTGGCCTATGGAACCAGGCTGTGGGGCCATGCCACTGGTACTCAGAGAATTCTTTTAATTCAAAAGAGAGCTGTTAGAGTAATTTCAAATGCTGGGTACCTTGACCATTGCAGACCTTTGTTTGTTGAAAATGAAATTTTGACCATTGTGAATGAGTACATTTTTCAGTGTCTGGTGGCAATAAAAGCCAGACAGGACTCTCTTCATGTAAATAGCGATGTACATAGTTATGATACTAGAAATAAGTTTGATATCTTTGTACCTAGAAATAGGCTTCAAAAATCATTGTGTTCTTTTCCTGTTTCAGGCATTAAACTTTTCAACAAATTGCCCCAAAGTACAAGAAATTTACACACAAAAAAATTCTCCACTTTTGTAAAAAATTGGCTCACTCTAAATCCTTTTTACCACATATCCGAATTTTTCAACTGTGACAAAAGCAATCTGGTGGTAACCATTTGAGTCATTTTCAGGTACACCTGCATGGTTTGTGCATGTTTTCTTGTTTTGTTTTTTGACTAGAGCTTATTTATTTGAATTGTTTGTTGATGAATTTGATTTTGCATGTTTTGTTTATTTAAATGACGAGCCTATTGTACTTGATGTATTTAATGGCAATAAAGACTTTGACTTTGACTTTGATAATACATTTCGTGGTATTTACATAATAATTATACAATTCTTAACGTAAAAAAAATATAATAATTACAAAAGTATAATACTGTATAATTAAATGGCACAAAGAGAAAAAATAAAAATACCTTATCAAATTAAAAGGAAAATGTCTACATAGGCAGGGGCCTGTGCGTAGACATGAGTTGCGGGTATAAATTGTATAGTGGGAAATGTAATCGAGTGTAATTGTTATAGCACGTCTTGCTGGGTAAAATTTTTATCTTGCTTGGAACTGGACTACGATATTTTCCTGAACTAAAAAGAATCATGATTTCTCTTAAAAATATTCAAGTGAAAATATTCAGAAATATTCAGTATTAATATTCAATTTGATGTTGACCTTTTTAATGACAAAAAATTGTGTTTTCAACAAAAATTTGTGCACTTTATCGGTTGAGAAAAGCACATGACTGTTTTCGTGGTTGGTTTGAAAACAAAATTCTTAAGAAGAATATTTCTAATTTTACAATTTTACTAGAGATTGAGTAAGTAAACAAATGGTTTGATTTAGAGGATTAATAAGAGGTAATTTCTTGAAAAATATCTTCCTTCAATTGCCTAAATGTTCAACAATAGTATAAACAAACCCATTTTTACCACAAAAGAGGTAACAACAGTTGGTATAACTGCAATACTAACACATGCATGTTACTAACACAGGTAGAATTCTCATCCCATTGTAAAATCTAAAGCTTGTTTTTCAAGTGTGTTTCACATGTTGGTGACGTTGAGTGCTACTGTCAACAAAATGTCTTTTACCTTATATTTTAGGGTTAATTGTATGATGTGTGCTGTTAGGTTATAAAACCAGAGGACAAGCTTGTGGTTTGATCGTTTCATATGGTTTATTTAATTTTGGGATAGCTGAAATAATAAGAAACAAAATTAAATAAAAAATGTCCCTATATGAACCAGGCGGAACTAACATTAAAATTATCCTCAGCTTAATCTATTGTACAACTGACCTCTAGCATTGTTGAGTTGACATAAGGTGACAGTGTAGTTGTACCGAGTCTCGAGTGTTGTCGCCAACACACCCACAGCAAAGTCTGTGTCGTCTGCGGCGTAGCAGACCAGCACATCATGTTCTTTGCCATCTGGAAAGGACAGATAATTTAGGACATATGCAATTTTTATTACACAATACACCCATGAATAGGGTACAATGGAGCGCTCAAATATTTTTAAGAAGATAGTAAGGAAACTTTAGTAAATTTGGTCTTTCAAAATGTTCTTTGAAGTGATGAAACAGTTTAAAATCAAGTGATTTCTGAGTTTTAATGGGTTTTGAAAATGACCAATCAAGGCAAAAGAACTGGGTAATAATCTATATAAATAAAATTAGAGTTTTGTCTGTACATTGCTCAGAATCATAAACTTTTAGGTTATTTTTACGTTTTATACATTAGAGAAACCGAAACAAGTCTCATCTAAATTTCTGTCTGTCTTCATGTCTGTTACGACCCAAGAGCCATTTTACGCGGCCTACTCCTGAAAAACGAGAGTACCTATCAAGTTCCAAATCATTTTAATGTATTCACCGGATTGGCGAAATTGTCTTTAGCCATTAAAATATGGCGTCACCACTATGTAAATAAAATAACGGACGTTTAAAAACCCAATTTTGTGCAATTTTTTGTAAAGTTTTCTCCTAATGTTTAGCACAAATTCTTCTATGAAATAACGAACAGCTGTTCAAATCAAGATTATTTCTTCTAGCTGTCACTGATATGTTTACATTGAATGTTGTTTACAAATACCGCAAACATTTCCGATCACGTTTTGAAAGCAAATCCAAACCAATTAAGATTAAAAACGTTTTTCCTTACATAACGGATTTAATTAATCGCAAGTGCAATAATATGTAGGGTAACAGTAAATGAAAATAGAGATTCTTTGTGTATAAAATTGTTCTTGAGTTTTGATAACCGGGAAAAAGACCTTGAATCAGTGTTGTATATTGCTGGGAAACTTCTATTTTTTAAATGAGCGTTTTCAGTCGAGACTCGGCACACGACCGACGCGCGTCTACTTTTGTCTATAGTAAAAATAAAAGTAGGCCTACTGTGTATTTATGTTTTATTCGTCATGTGTATAAGTGTACAGTTCGTGTATGTGTTTCAAAAACTCCAAGACGCACCTAATGGGGAAGCTCAAGACCTTTAGGACTGATGATGGTGATTTAATTTCGCCGAAATGCATCTCCTGTAATAGGATACATTAGGATCGACCAGCGGACACAGGTAATTTAGCCTTTTATTGATTGTCATACCGATCCGGAACAACAACAAATGACATAAAATGAAGTTACGTATAATAAATAGTTTGGCCAGCATATCTGAAAATATGCAAACCAACTGCTGTTCTTTATATAAGAAGGTTTCAACTGATTACTATAAGATCCCTGTGCGTAGAACGGGTACACAGCTAGTAAATAATAAAATTGAAGGGCGTGAGGAATGCAACGGAAACGGAATAAGAATTATGGAGTGAAACAAAAAGTAGATACAGAGACTTATATTTACTCTAAAGCTTCATCGATAATAAAAAAATATTTTTTTCAGTGACATATTTAATCTATGTATACTTAGCTAACCTATAATACTCACCATCAACTGGACGAGAAGAGATCTTGAGTTTGATGTAGAGAGCAGCAGCGAGAGCAAATCTCTTGTAAACCACAGCGAGAGTGACGACCACTAGCAGACAAAGAACCATGAACTGCAGCTTCAACCACGGGATCTTATTGGACGGCATCTCCATCTCCCAATCTAGCCAATATTACAATACGAGTTACACTTTATGTCAACAGTAAAAATGTAACAAATGTTTTTCCTGTGTGTCGTTTTTGTGAGTTCATAACTAAATTTGAGTAATCCGAGACTAGTTCATTTTTGTACCTTAAGAGGGTTCCACACGCCGGCTGTTTACCACGTAAACATGGTCCTACAAAAAAGAACCTCGTGGCATTATTAAAGTGTTTATCAAGTTGAAATAAACTGTAAAATATTCACAAAGATCCAAACTATGCACTGGCTGAACTGAAACTTAATCTGTAAATTAGTCTTTTTTACATGCGATTTTAACTTCTAAATAATAGTTTAACATTATTTTTGCTCCATTCATTGCAAGCTCTGATATGTTAAAAGCACAACAAGCACACAATCATTGGAAACAAATTCGTTGAGAGCTTGTACCGTAGAGGCATGTTCAGGAACTTTACCATGTTTAGCCACCAAATTGAATTGGCCGGGCAGAACCCTCTTAAGAACATCTTTTATCCAAGAAAAGGAAGCACTAGACCTAAATGTGTACAAAATGCATATTTTGATTGGTAATCTACACTACTGGTCATGTTTTATTTCTATAATTAAACATTTTCATCAAACTAACCATGTTCACGCAGTAGGGTAGACAACCGCAACACTTGATCCCCCGTGTTGCTGATGCTGCAGACATATTCACCGAAGTCACTGTGAGAGACTCTCTCAATCACCAAGTACGCTCCTACAACCTGACCTTCCTCCCTGCACAGAGGAAACACTCATAAGGTACAATACACTTGTAAGGTGCACACTTGTTTGAGACAATACACTTGTAAGGTACAATACACTTGTTAGAAATTCTAAAATCAAATACTATAAAATCAAATACTGGCAAACTTCGGTTGAGCACCGAGCGCACACATGAAACCGCCGTCCAAACGGCGGAAGGCAGTCCTAGGGTTAAAGGAAAGAAAGATAACCCCATAAAACATAAAATCCCAACACAAACCACCAACATTGAATTTCTGCTGAAGTGTTTGTAATGGAATCATGTCACTTTATTAATTATTAAGGATTAAAAACAAAAACCATAAGGTTAAAATTACCATTTAAAAGCAAGAATCCTGTGAAAACAAACCTGGAGATGTTGCGTTGTTTGTATCTCTTAGCATCTGGGGATGACATGTTGAAGTCAGGGCGTTCCCACAGGATTTCATTGTTGGCATCTGGAAGGTCAATCTTGCCTGGACACCAGGAGATAAATTAGTCTTTGATTGTAGTTTATTGTGAAATTATTACTTTTTGAAATAACAAGTTTGCCAGTGGAAAAGAGTATCAGAAAAAATTGCTGATTAAAGAGGAAGAATCAGAAAATGAGGTGAAATGCAATAGTAACAGTGGAGGGGGAAAAATTAAAACTATGGGAGGGGTAGAAATATATTTTTTAAACTTAAACTCCAGTATTTTAAGATCTACTTATTTTAAAACATGAATCTTTTTAGTAAATCATTAAAAAGTAATTTCACAGATTTACATAAGTTTTTTTCTAAAATGAATATTCAGCTTTCCTCCAGGCAGCGTACTTTAGACTACAGCTATGAAAGTTTGCCATGATAATGTTGTTAATCATTTCAAAACGTATCCAAAACCATAACTATTGTGTAAACAGGTGTTAAGAACTGGATTAACAACAAAACCGTTGAGTGACAACAATCTCCTATTATTGGTCATATTGATTTCTCATGTTAACAATAAACAAACTTGTCAAGAAACAAGGAATGGTTGCCCAACCAAATTCCTAAACATTGTTGCCAGAACAGATTCTGCTTATGTTTACCATAACAGATTGATGTGTTATGTTTTCACTGTTATGATGACGCATGATCATTAAGATAAGCCCTAATGTGGTTTTCTGTTACAATAATCCCTGACTGTTGATAAAACAAATGTCATTAATTAATCATCTCTGTTGGTGTTATTCTTGAGGAACCAATTAAATCCAAATCGTTGAGATGTTTGTTTATAAGAAAATAATTGAAGTTGGTATAGGACAGAGATAACTGATTTTTTTGTTGTTTAAAACAAGTTATTTCATGAAGCTTGCGCTTCATCTTCTACTACATCTTTATACCATAGTACAGCAGGGTTTATGTCATATGCTATGAATGATGTTTCATTTGTATTACCTATTTGCCTTTAACTATTGATGCTTCATAACAAGACTTTGATTATAATTATTATAACCTTATTCTGGTTTAAATAATATAATTCTGTTTATCAGCCAGGTTTGAAAGCAGAGAAAATACAAGTTCACATGTTATAGTCTAAAACTCCATTTTGTGCTGCATCCACTATAATCCCGCACATGGTCTAAAACTCTGGCTTTTAGGATAGAAAAACTCCACATAGAAACACTGTACTTGGATATTTAATAAATATAAGGATGATACTGTTAAAAAAACTTACCAACAAAAGCTTCACAGAATAGTCTGGCAGTTTGGCCAATTTTGACAAAATGTTCGGCTGGCATGTTGTAGGTTGGTAGTGGCATGTTCATGTAGTTCTTCTTCATTACTAGAAAGCAAAGAAAACAATAAGGAACATTTTAAAAATACTTTTAGTAACAAAAATATAATATTGAAACACACACACACACAGCTAGAACACAGCTTGAAAATTATTGGTTTTTTACTACTTGGCCGTAATATTTTTCTATAATTTACCGGTATGCTGTAAACAATTCTTGGTTAGAGAGTAACTAATTGATAAATAGTCAGTCTAGTTAATATGGAGATATCAATCAGTATTTTGGCAATTTGACATTGCAACATGACAAAACGCAATAAAGTTGGCCTTAAAGTACATTGAGATCAGTTTCCACTTGTCCTACAATCATCTCCATTCACTTGGCTTAAAATATCTACCTTTGTATGGTTGCCACTTCATATAAAAGTATAAAGTAATTTATCATTTCAAACATAATCCCAACTATAATTAATTGAATTCACTGCAAAAACTATTTTGAGTTCATCTAATTCATTCAATTCAATTCATCAAATTTACATATAAACCAAAACGAATAGGATCCGGATCCATACAAAAATACCTAAACAAATCCTATTGAGACTTCAATGAACCATGAGGCGAAGCGTTATGGAAATATGAAATCTTGTCTTATTACTTATAGAAACAAAAGAGTTTGAATTCCAAGTTTTCTGATTCTATAATACTTACTCATATACAGCCGTTAACTTTCTGCATGTTACAAAATGTTGTCCAAACCTTGTCTACCAGTGAATAGTGTCGGGACTAAATTTATGTTGGAGTAATAATTTTTTTTTAAAGTTGTAGGTATACAAAAAAATATTAATACCGGTAATTTTTATAATCCAAATGTAGTTTAGCTTACAATGGAGCCACATCAGGTTTTTCCAAGGATCACTGAAGTTTGTCAAAGTTCATAAATATTTACAAAGTATAGATTACATTTAAAACACGCAACACGCATGACTAGGAAAGCTTTGACGTGACCGGCTTTAGAAGAAGCGACAATGTCCTTGGAAAACCTATTGATATGTGCCGAATAAAATTTGTGAGCCGAAACTAGTTGTAAGGTAACCATTTGAATTATCAACATTACAGGTTTTCAAACCACTTTAATTGTATCTTGATAATCCAAAAGCTACCCGTTCAAAAAATTAAAAAAAAACATTACCTTAAATAGAATCATTGTGCAAATAACTCTTATTTACTTTAATTAGTTTTACTGTACTTCCAAATTTACTATTTACAAACAGTCTATTCAGGGAAATATTGTATTTTAGATACCAATATCTTGATTCTCCTTGCTGGAGATACTATTTACAAACAGTATATTCAGGGAAATATTGTATTTTAGATACCAATATCTTGATTCTCCTTGCTGGAGATACTATTTACAAACAGTATATTCAGGGAAATGTTGTATTTTAGATACCAATATCTTGATTCTCCTTGCTGGAGACTTGGGAGATAATTAAAGTTTACTTGTGATTCCTGGTAGGGCTCATAAGCACAAGTAGAAGAGATCTTGTCTTCATTAAACTTGATTGATTCAGGCTGAGAAAATGAATGCAGCGGAATCAAATTATTTTATATCAAGCAAGACACAATGATTCCTACTCTTATTCAAACAATTATTTTTGATTGGATAAGAATGCAATAATGTATGCCTGAGAACACTGATAGGAAACCATGTAATGTTATTTCATTTATTGCAACAGTGATTCACATTCCTTGAGAAAAACCGCTTTTCAGTTAATGTAAATTAATGTTGTTCAAATGTTTATTGAGGACATTTTCCATCACAATGGTAAAAAAAAACTATACATAACGTTTCGGTATCTGGAATCTGATCACGGCCTTAGGTGAAAAAATAACCTAATACACTACAGAGAGTAGCAGTGCATATACTTGACTGCTACTCTCTGTAGTGTTTTCCAACTTAGGTTGGGCTTTTGTGCATTGTTAGTTGTAATGTGTTAGATTATTTTTTCACCTGAGGTACGTGATCAGATTCCAGATCCCCGAAAAACTTTGTGTATAGTTTGTTTTATAAGGAACAATGTCTGCAATAAACCTTGATCAACCGAGATTTCATTTAAATCTTAACGAATTTGAGCTCTTCAACAGTTGGTAGACCGTAAACCGTAGACCTACCGAAGACGGTGAGGGAGGTGGTGTGAGTGACGAGACGAGAATCATTGGCTACTCTGCAGGAGTAGTTCCCAGCATCCACTGCACCCAAGGCCTGGCTGTAGATGGTCTGATTGGCTGACTCTGGGTACAGAATGAAACTTGACACATCCCCTGGCCACGGGTAAGCCTTGCCGTCTTTGAACCTAGAAAGAAAATGCACAATTATAAATTTTGATGATAAAATCTGAACCATTCTGGTAATGGTAAATTGTAGTAGTAGGTAGTTAGGTTTGTAGATTTGGAAGCTATACCAACATTTTTTAGGTGAACCTTTAATACTTCTGCCTTAAATAGCAGTAAGCTCGATATGTGAAATGGTAATTTGATATTTTTGATATAAGCGTGAAAACTCCATTTATTCAAATGAGATTCACGACCAGATCAATCTGATTGGAAGGGGGGGTTTGAAAAATAACCTAACACTTTTTTGTTAACTTTTTTGCCAAAATATTTAGGAAAGTTCTAAAATTTCTTACTATTGATTACAGAGATATTTATAAGTGGTTAAACCATATTGTTTCCTATGTTATCCTAAAGGAAAGTGGTATAGTTGCTAGAGATTCTTGTTTATGAGGATAAACCTTCATACAATTTTTCTATTATCAAATATCATAGTAGAATGTTAAAACTTAACAAAATCAACAGCAGTAGTTTGTGTTTTTCGTACCAACAAACAGAGAGATTTCCAGGTAAAACATCAAACTGTAAAAGTTGTTTATGTTTGAGCACTTGTCATATCCCAAGATCCATATACTTTTTCCGAGACATCGTCAGAACTTTCTGATGAATTAACTATTTATCAACAATTGTATTTTACCATCTGTGATGCACATATGTATCTACAGTATCACTAAACAGTAATTTTGTCATTTTGTCACTCAGCAAAAACTATTTCACAGAAATAGGCTTAGTTAATTGAACAGTTATTAGTACTGAAATATGTAAATCTATTAGCTAGTTTAATACATTACTGAATTTCATAGTATATTGTTATCATTACAAACTTGTAAGTAGTCATTAATAGTAAGTTTTATTGTAAATTGAAAAAATGTCCATAAAGTGAAAGCATAGAATATAATTCCAATTTTTTGTTTTGCTCCTAATAAAGACTTAAAACTTTGGTGATAAAAAATTATGGTTGAGTAAATCCAGTGGTTCAAATACTGTAATGCAAGTATAGAGTTGAAGATTGCCATTTCAGGCACAATGAGTAGTTGTAAGCCAACACATATGTCCAGGGAAGGTTTTGTGTCCAAGTGAAACAGAAGATCAGCTGATGTAGTCAGAGGTGTGTGATGAGTCAGTATGACGTAATCAGCTGTTGCTGACTCAGAAGTGGACACTGAGAACGGAACTTACCTTAACATTTTTTTAGATAGGTGTGATTTCATATCCTGTCAATTTTTGACAGGACTTTCCATTGACAAATTTTTGTTAGATGGTGGGTAACAATTTTTAGAACATAATGTACTAAAACATCCCAAAGTTCAGTTTTATAAAGAATATTTTCATACTTATAAAACCAAAATTTTGTGTTTTTGACAGATTTATCGTAAATATGAACTTCAAGCCACAAAGGAAATATGAAGATTTATTGTAGATATGAATTTATCGTATGACATTAATTTCTATTGAGATAAGGTAGTTTGTATCCATTTCAAATAATAAATTTAATCCATATCTGGAGGAAGCTAAAATATGTAGTAATGACCTGTAAATCTTACAAAACTGTGATGTTCTGATACTGTATTGGATGGCATTAACATAATTCCAAACATGTCACTGGTCCTTCCATGGATTAATATGCATGCTTTTCAACATTGTAAATACAATTTTTATATGCATGCTTTTCAACATTGTAAATACAATTTTTGCACTGGGTGTACATCAAAGGTAAAAATTACTTTTACTGTAAACATTAAATACCGATAAATTAATTGGAAATGTATATTTATTAAAAACTTGAACCTTTTCATTCCATTACATGCTATTAATTTGAGTAATGAAACCACAGTGTGCATGGCAACTGTGTTAGCAGGTGGAAGATTGACTGAATACCTAATGTAACTAATTCGATTAGTCAATCCATCAATCGCATTTTAAATGCTTGATTTAAAAATCCACAACTCTCATACAACTGAAGGTTTTTGTTTGACGGTGTTAACATAAATTATACACATATCACAAGATTTTCACTTGAGGAATGTGTATTGTCTACCTATTACAAAGTTGGCTATGCATTTGTTGAATTAATACCGCATAAACTTAATGTAAGCACAATTTGGTAATCTAATAAAACTAAAAGTTTGCGTTTAAACGCCCCCGAAAAATTGTAAAAAACCTCCAGTTTTAAAATTTTGACTTACATCAAATATTCTAAATTAATGGTCTCCGCCAAGGTAAAGCACCCTGCAGTGAGATTAAAAGCTGCCAAGGGCAAGACAATTCTGGGAACCAATCTGCACTATAAAGGGAAGAGCTTGGAGGAGACAGGGGTGGGGTTGGTTTGTAACTACCTGTACTGTACTTGATTGCTAGCAACATCATTATATAGTAGAAATACACTGTGTGCATAGTCATTAGTATTGATTGAACTGTGTTATTTAATATGTTTGATATTGTTTTGGTAAGTCATTTCTGCAAAAAATATACCCACAATATTATAAAACAAAATACAGTATTAATCTAAGTGATAAAAAAAACCATTTAACTGTTCTTTTGTCATTTAAGTTTTTACCTACGGTATAAGACAGAGAATAGTTTTTGTTTGCACAAATATGAATTTATGTTGAATTATGATTTTAGCACACCCTTTCACACAAGGGATTGTAGAGTTGAAACTTTTAGAGAGGTATAAGTTTTAGCCTTGTAATAACATCCAATTATTATGTAGGCCTACACATTAGTGTAGTTGTGTCAATTAGTATAATTTTGGATGGAGGTATGAATTTCACTTGAGGCCTGAATTTGATTTCATGTAATAGTATCCTATTATTATGTGTTGTACAAAACATAAGTATTGTATTAATTGTTTAGTTGAATTTTGGATTCTTTTTATTCTAGGACGCTAGGCACGATCCCGGGATGGTTTTTTGTACATTACTTCAGGCTAGAACTAGAGAAGTTGCGGCATTATCACTTGGATAAAATCAAATAGTGATTTGGTGGGATTTGAACCCGGGACCACAGGGACAGAAGTCTCTCGCTCTGCTACTACACCAGATCACTCCTCCCTTCATGAATTTCGTACAGTTAGAGCACAGGTTAAAGAAAGTAGACCTACTATCACATTACTACTTTCTTTAATCTATGGTTAGAGGTATGTATTTTGCTTGGTACCTAAATGTGATGTAATAATTAATGCCATTATGTGTTGTACAAAACATAGTCCTTGTGTTACAAGTTTTAGTTGAAACATTTTTGGTTGAAACACAGCCAGCTTAAGTTAGTAGGACATTGGGAAAATAATAGATTCCAACTAAGCAGTAAAACGACTATAATTGAGACACTTAGCTCCAGTCTGGAATATTTGAGAGTAATTTCCAGAATACATTTCAAGCCTATTCAGTTTGCGTAGCGCAATATGCTCTTTCCAGACGAGTAGTTCCACTTCAGCTACTTCACTTCCTGGAACCAATAATCTGACATTTTCCTCCCATCCTGCAGGATAAGCACACAACCACTGGAGGTGGATTTCATACAAAAAATATTTCCCCAGTTATTAATTATTTTGTCATATTGAGCTATTAAAAGCAAATATCATAGAAGACGGGTTGTTTTCGGTTGTTTTACAAATAATTAATTTGATGTTTACCTAAATCTATTATCTGATAAAAATTAGTTTTTATGCCATTCAACAACATTCTATATTATCAACAAGGGTGTTTTTGCTTAGAGAGTTGGAAGTATAATAATTTAAGAAAATATAAATTTCCTAATACAGCATTCACAAATATTTTTTTAATTAGCAAAACTCACTGGAGTCAAATAGAACAATTACCTTGTCAATTATCATTAGGTAAAAGATGTAAAAATATAGTAAGTAAAAATCTGCTGTTGTTAACTCAGTTTTAAATCCTTATTGTATGCAACCACATGTTTCGAAAGTATGTATCGATTGTTTTAATCGGTTGTAGCTTGGTTTTGTCTTCTTATCAATAGCACGACATATCGATAGTAAACCGACGTCTTCGCCTCGAACCAGCTCCAATTTGTTAGCTCGGGTCGAAAAGGGTCACTTTACGTCCACAGTGATGAAATCTACTATTTTAACCATACAAATTTCACCCCTTTTTTGCAGATTTTCACTTACTTCTGCGTAAGTGAATTTGATTTTCGACCAAAAATTCCACATATTCGTTAATATACATTAACGTATATTAACGTTATGTAGCTTAAATAATTAAATAATGTAAAGTGGCAAATTTTAGTTAACATGTGTTCGTAGCTTCATAGCAGTTACACTATCGTGATGCATTGATGTTATTGAGGGGAATATTTGGTACTTACGATTCTTGAAGTGTATTTAAGTTCTCTAAAATCGTAGTAACATTAAGAGACGAGAAGGGGGAAAGGTAAAGTTGTTTCTTTGCAGGGTGAGTCCTGTATCAGAGGGAGAGAATGGAACTGGGACCTTATTAAACCTTTGATCCTCTTCTGAGTAAAATCCCAACAAAATGTCACCAGAGGCAGCCCTTTCCTTGTCATAGAGTTTTATGTACAATTGTACAACCTCCTAACAACTCTGATTTATATTTGAGACGGTGATATTTTAATACATTCCTTCTTTGGTCATATTACTTCTAACCTAAAGGAATTTTTCAATAGAGAAATTTTCATACCGATTGTAATTTTTTAAACTAATAATTTTTAACTATATTTACAATTTTAATAATTTAAATTCTAAAATAAAGTTTGACAAAATATTGTCCCTTTTTTGTTTGTTTGATAACATATATTTTAAATAAATTAATGTCAATATTTAAATGCTTTAGTCAATATTTTATATTGCAAGAATACTATGTAATTGACTACTATTTTTGTGCTTTATTTATATTTATAACTACTCACAAATCAGTTTAACTAATGTGTTGTTTTATTTTTGAAAATGCATTTACTATAAAAAATTAAGGAATAGACGTTG